CATGATGGAATTGCACTTTTTCGCATGGGTTTGCCGTATTTGCCGTGAATCCCTCTCGGAGTCATTGAAAGACTCATTCTTCTCTCAATAGCATCATCCCTGCCAATGGCCAAATTTATGGATATTTTACAGCAACAAAAAAATCTTGAATCTTCAGTAGAAACCTTGTTCAGCTCATTACTGACTTGAACATGATTTCTATCTTTAATTCAAACAAATTATGTGCACATTATCTTCGTGCTTCAGAGCATATCGTGAAGCACCATCTGGCACTGGGCGTTGCGCGCATATATTAAACGTGTGAAATAGTGTCAATTTATGCCAAAATATCAAAGACATTATCTCTGGCTGTGGTAAGTTAGAAGCACGAATCCCGAATTCGCCCTTTTGTAAATCCCCAATAACACATTTTACGCTGGAAGGGACACACAATTTTCCTGCACCAGTTCGCGTCCCCCTCACACACAATGCCGCAAAAACAATGCTAATCCCCTAATAATGCTATGTAATGTTTCTCTATGCCGGGACAATTGTAGTGTTTGCAAAAATCAATGAACTTTTAAAAATTCAACCCTCACAATGAAATTATATCCGTCAACTTTTGTCAGCCTTCGTCAGTTTGGCTGATGAAAAATAATTTGATCGGTCGAACGGCGGCGAAATGCGATCTCTCGGCGAGAGTATTGAATTGAAGCGCCCGGAACAAAAGGAATAACTTACGTTTGATGTCACGTCCAATAAAACATTAATGTATCAGTGATGACTCCTTTGCGGCACACCCTCGTGGGTTGTTGAATTGTTGACGGGAAAGGAAATTTTCTATCCAGAGAAAATTGCTTATTTATTTAATTATAATATAACATCTTGGGGAACAAGCGTTTATATATTCAATATGACTTCCCACGTCTCTTTATGTATACATATGTGCAGTATATACAACAGTTCGTTGTCAGACAGTTTTCCTCTGCACTGTAAAGACGTTGATATAATTTCAAAATCGTCTCCATTTAGTTTGTGATGCAATTGAGCTTAGCATAATTCATGTTACATTTGTTGATACATATTGTAAATCATCCATAAGTGTATATAATAAATATGTGATTTCTGTTTTGAATTCAAGTTTAGTGTCTTGGTCAAGTTTTTCATGTCTATAAAGTAACGCACGTCTCATTCAAATGAGCCATTCCGTATTCATGCTCATTTTGTATTCTGGATGAGTTGTCTATAAACTGTAGTTTACAATCTTGCCATAAAAGTAGACAAATTAAAAATTCGTCAAACACACATAAATCGCTGAAGTTCTTTAAGATAATCAGATTAAAACTTCTCAATCGCAACTGAATCTGAAAAGTTTTAGTTAACTGTACAGTTTGTTGTACAGTGAAAGTGTTTAAGTTTTTCTACATTTAGCATAATTGACATATTCAATCAACTGACCATGAATATCAAACATCGCAGTGCTGACGTCAATCACAGAAATTTAGACAAAGTTACATTTATTCACCTCAATCCAGCATAAAAAGTGCCTTTTTGGGAAGTCATCAAGGGCTTTTTACCTTCCAATGAATTTTAATAGAGGTAAAGTATGATACTAAAACCCTCAAAATTATTAATGTGCGACTGAATATATTTAGAGAATGGATAGAGACACCAAATGTGTATCTATTGTTGGAGTGTTAGCCAGTCTCCACAACTTCTTGCGACATCTTCAATTCTATACATTCGTAGCGCTTTGGAATTTCTCTTGGCCCGTGGCTAAAAGCGCTCTGTGGACAAAAAACCGCACAATTTTACAATTATTTAATTGGTAAGCATGGAAATTGACAAATTATGCAACTGATTTTCTTTGTAACTGCTAATGACATTTTCGCAATTCGCGTATCTTCACACGTGTGATTGAGTTTGTCATTTTAATGCGCAATCAGAAGAGAACTTCCGCGATTGAAATATGATATAAATTAGAAAAATAACGACATAGAGACATCCAAGAAGTAATAAATTTGCAAAAATTCAAATTTCTTCATTCGCTGCATGCTAGTCCAAAGTCTTAACCTTGGCAAAGACCATATCTTTGTAATTAATTGTCCATAAAGAAATTTATCTGCCAAATAATTCACCCACTATAAAAGGCCACATTTGTAAACCGGAATTTCTCATGCTGAAAATCGCGAGGAACTCTCTAGTAAGCTCACATTTATTTTAGTGTTTGAATCTTCGCCTAGACAAATATGGTGGAGAATGAAAGAGAAAACGGACCCAGCGACTGGTCATCAATGGGCAAGGGGGAAGTCACAAGGCGATTTTAGAGGAAACTTAATGTTCTCAAATCAAATAATCGATTATTTGACTAAAATAATCAAAAAATGATTATTTTCCCATATAAAAATGAAAAATAATCAGAATAATCACAAATAATCAAAAATAATCAAAAAATGATTATTTTTCCATATAAAATTGAAAAATAATCAGAATAATCACAAATAATCAGAAATAATCAAAAAATGATTATTTTCTCCACGAGGGGGCAGCGCCGCCTCGCGGCAAACACGGAACATATTTTAATTATTCACGATTTTTACATTTATATTTAATTTTTAATCAAATATTCGGAAAATATTCATAAAATAGTCAGAATTGGTTCAAAAAAATCAATTTTTAATCAAATATTTAGAAAATAATCATAAAAAAATCAGAATTTGTGCAAAAAAATCGATTTTAATCAAATAATCATAAAATAATCAGAAATAATCAGAATTTTGTATGAAATAATCAGAATAATCAGAAATAATCACAAATAATCAAAAATAATCAGAATTTTGTATGAAATAATCAGAATAATCAGAAATAATCAAAAATAATCAGAATTTTGTATGAAATAATCAAAATTTGATTAATAATCACAAATAATCATAAAAATGATTAAATAATCACAAAGTTAATGGTCTCAACTTGCGAGTGACTTCCCCCTTGTCAATGGGTCAGATAGACAACATCGTCTCCAAAAACTGAGCGTAATTTATTAGTCGCTCTGCTGAATTCCTTGTTTGGGTCTTCCCCATGTCTGGAGACATTGTTTTGCTTCTTAATGAAGTTCTGTGACTAGAAGAAATTCTGATCAGTCGACATTCCTAGGTAATTTTGCTCGCGAGATCGTCGCTTTCTGAATTTTTATATGCTCATTTATCAGGCCAGTGCGCATAATATCGCATTACAGCACCTTCATATTCTGGTACTGTTCGCATGAGAATAAAAAGCCGATTTTCTCTACTTCAAAAATATCCCCATTCCGACCTTGGGAAATTCATGCACACAAATTAGGAGCTTAATTTAGCCTAGTGTATAATTAATGAGTAAATTCGGATACATAAATATTAATTAAACCAGAAGCCATTTTTTCTTCTTCTTCTCTTTAGTCAAAAAATGATTGTGGTATGTGAAAATTTTTGTATTTTGCGAAAATCAGTTGTCACAATGACCATGATTCTTAAAATCAAAGTCAGTGTCTATGGAGCAATGCCAGAGGCGTTGCAATACTCCAAATATAAAGCTGATATGCATACATTAAGTTCTGTGGTAACGCACCGTGTCAATGGCTGGGTTGGCTCGGCGGATCATTTGCAAGTTGAGTGTCAAAAGTGTAGCGAAATATATAATCACTGTTTATGCATGCATTATGGCTACTGGTCGCTTGATTTCTCAGCCAAGAGTAGGAGAAAAGTGACTCAATGCATTTGCAGATACGGTCGAGCTATAAATTCGTATCGCATTTTCAGATGTAATCTGCAAAATGTGACACATTCGATTGATTAAACTGAGCCTGGATGAATGAATTAGCTTATCATAAGATCTTGATTTTTTTAGGCGCCAGAATTGAAACCACGTTTCTCCGAAATAAACAAATGTAAAGTATCTTATGAGAATTCATAAAAATTCCATAAGAAAATCTCATATTAGCATGTAAATGTGAGCTATTTAAATACTAACTCAATGGACAGAAGCGTTAGAGACAATATGAAGAACTTCTGCAATATGACTTTGGCTCTTTTGACATAATATATTTAAAATGCGTCAGACAAAGCCACTGATCTTATTAGAGCCATAAAAATCAATTTAATACCTAACTCTAGAACAAATCTTAAATTCGAATAAGTACAATTAAAACTAGTTAAACTCTGCTTAAAACACAGTCAGTAATTAGTGAAGAATTTTTGGTTGCTTCCGATAGACTTTCATATAAAACATTTTGACATGTGTGTTGCAACAAGACCTTATTAAACTATCATTTTGAGGCCATCACGCGAAGAAAGCGATACGAACTTGCCGCCGAACCCGTGGCCAAAGCGCATGGAGTGGTGTTAAGCGCCACCGTGACGCTGAGCTTCCACCATCGATCGCCGTTCAGCTCACGGTGGTCAATTGTCTGCGAGCATTGTCTATCATCACTCTGCGCTTGATCGTTCAGCGGAGAAGTTAAGCCAGTGAGCGTCTTCAAGCGCGACCCGAGCGAGCGGCACTTGATATGGTCCATACTTTGTGTCACCTGCGGAAAATCTTTGGCCGAGTCTAATGATCTTTATCTGGGTTTGAGTGCAAAGTACAGAGGCATATCGCATGAGCTGTTGTGATGGGAAAATAGTGTGATCGCGGGTGGAATCAATTCAATTGTGGACTTTAATCGTATGATAAGAACTCTGCAAAAATTCACTCCATTCATATTCCAATTATTAATTGTTCTGTCCTCTCGCAATTGATATTTCATATATTGGAAAAGTGTTGGCGAATATTGGGCTTATCAGTGAGAGTGTGTTTGAGTGAAACATTTGACGAATTGAGTGTTTTTCAGCATATTGGAATTTTCATCAAAATGCAGTGACAGTGAAATTGAACAAGTTCCGATATTAATTCCCTCAATAATCACATGGATTTAGCATAAGTGGTCTATAAATACAATTCTAGTTCAAAGTCTTTCTCTCCGTTGACTTTTTTGCAATCACATCGCGATGTATTCAATACTGGGCAAGAGTGTTATACTGACGAGAATGTATCAGTACCTCTCGTACTTGTCGCCAATCACGCTCCTCATCTACGTCCTCCTCGTGACGCTCATCCTCATGTACAACAAGCGCAGAGCGCGTCTAGTGAAGCTGATCGACAAGATACCAGGACCACCGGGCCTGCCGATTTTGGGCAACACCATCGAGATTAATGTTGATCATGACGGTAACTTCTTTCACACTATTTGCATACTGCGCATGAGATATCGTACGACGCAATCTTAGCATTTTTTCCCTATCATCTTCTGTAAAAGAGCGCCAGACAATTGTGCATTCTCTGAATCTTCCAGTGAATGAATGGCCCACTTCGCGAGATTGGTACACTTTCGTTTTCTATTGTCCGCGGACCTCTAACAAATAAATTAAATATTTTTTTTCATGTACATCGCGCACAGAGGCACGAAAATGTGCTCCAATCCAACACTCGCCATTGGTATATTGCATCAACCTATTATCCTAATCATAGAAATTGAGAAAATTGTCTGTTGCTTTTTGCTGTCGCGCACGTGCATTTCGAAGTTTGAGAGAAATTTCCTAATTTGCCTACGAGATTTCTGGGTGAAAAGACAACCTTGGCACATGTTATAAAATAGGTCGAAATTGTGGCAAAGTGGATGACCTATGTATACAATACGTCCACTTCCCCTCGGGGTATTTATTTTCAGTTGAGCGCGCACAATTTTATCATTTCCCGAGCATCGGAAATACCTTCCAGTAGACTGACAAATGGTGTTGCAAAATTGAATTTATGGTGAACTTGAAAAAACTAAAAGATGAGTCAAATTATAAATTTGTCTGTCACGAACACGAGACACTTCTTTTTATACTTTTAATGTGATAAAGCAAACACACGATTTCACCAAAATCTGGGTAGGGTAAGAAAAATGACTGCCAAACAGGCTTATAAAGCATGGTAAAGGAAAAAGAAAGATTAATGATTTTTGGTGGAATTATAAATTATATCACGTGCATTGTTCCTATGAATGACTCTGATAACTTTTGCTGAAGTTATTGGGTTGTGCCATCGGACAGCAATGAAATGTAATAGTAATGTATAATGTAAGGGAGTTCATCTGTAACGAGCGTGTTGCGATGTTTGCTGCCAAAGCCAAAATCTTAACCACGCTAGAAAGATATATTGACGCCTTTAAGGAATTTTTACAGAAGTGAAAGACCTCCAGTAAATGTGGGAGATTTTCAAATTGTCTAAGAATTTCAGGTTTTTTTAGCTGATTTAATAAATGACCATTGCGAAAGAAGTGGGTGTGATATATGTACGTACTTAAAAAGAATTTGTGCTTATTTGATACTAAGACTTTTGGATGTGTCCAAAATGGAAGAACAACATTTTAGCATTTTTTAAATATTAAAGATAAGATTCTTAATAGCTCTTGTTCGGTTCTGTAAGTCTGACTAGTCGTTTTGCCTTAAGTTTTAGCTTATATCCCAGCGCACTTAACTCTTTTTTTGGTCAGAAAATAAAGATTCATAGCCATTGTATCCTAGCGAGACTTTTTTTCACAATTAAGATAAATCGGCCGTCGAGTATATTAATCAAGTATTATATTGGAATCCCGGATCTTCTTCTTCAAAAAGCATTTCCAAATAAGTCGCTTTTCTGGAGCCTTTGGATAAAGTTATCGGTTATTGAAATTCTTCAAAAATTTATCTTTTCGAAAAGTTGTTTTATATAATTTTAGTCTAATGATTGCTTAAAATACTCAAGAAAGCGAACAATTCAAAAGACAAATGTTAAGCAAATATTTCTATTATTTAAAAAAAAATCTCACTTGCCTTTGATTTTTTTGTCTACTGGATAATCGATACCTTTTACAGTATATTTAAGTATTTGTGTTATATATATAATATATATACTACAACTCCGCATCATCTTGGCGACAACAAAACTACACGTGGTTTCAATGCTCGCTAAAATGTGTGTTGATTTGTGCGCGGCAGAATTGAAATCGAATGCATAATATATCGACATATTATGCCTAATTGTGTCGTCTATATTTTCCAAAAATCTCATTTTATTTCAAAATCAAGTTCACACTGTGTGAGGTAAATAACACGGCGCGCTAAGAGAGGCCAAACTAACAATAATATCGTTATTTATTTGCATATATTTTTCCGTACATCCTTAATGGAAAAATCTGCGCGTGGCGTGACAATTTTCACGATGATCTGCATCAATTTGTGAGGCCTTCGAAGGGATAGACTTGGTGTCTTTCGGGGAATTGATACGCTTCGAGTGCGGCTTCTGTGATGACAAGTCGGGAGCAAAAGTGGCGATATAAAGAAGACCGGCACTATAAATATTTGCCATCATGTCTGTGGCCTCTCTTTCCAACATCACGTCATCAACGGGCCAGCGATCAAAAGGTTCTTTTAATATGTTCCGTCGAATATATGCAATATTAGGGAATTGATCGATATGGGAGGCAATAAATAAATCGTTCTTACGATGATATCTGCGACATGATTAATCACTGGAGAAAACGGCCAAATGTAATTTGTAGATCATCGCATTTTTTCGCCTTTTATTGTTGTACTTTACCCATCCAGCCGCGAGTTTTTCCTTCAAATGGCACCATCCCGCCCATCAGTTGCCCCCATCGCCTCTGGGGCGGACTCTTTGATGTCACAAATTCGATTAATTATCGAAAATGTTTATATTGCGGTTTTGACAGTTATACGATGTTCCAATAAACACCTATTTTTGCCAGAAATAATCCACTCCAGTTTGTTAATGTGAGCGTTCGATATCAATTTGATTGAGTCACGTTTTCTGTACAGAAGATGTCTGATAGGATTTTATTTATTGTTTCTTCTCATCTGAGCGCGAGTTTTATCGGGGAAAAGGGAAAAAATGGGCACGTCTCTTATCTAATCTAAATATATCATGCTCTCACATTTCGCCAATAGCACACTTTTTCATCTCGCGTGCCGAGTAATATTTTCCCGTCTTAAATATCTATGCTAGAGTCACTCGAAAGGTGGTGCAATTTTTTGATTTATCACAGATATTCCTAACTCAAAATTTGATACATTTCATGGGAACCACGTGAAATAATGCTTTCACGCCGAAGTAGCATTGAACGTTGGTCTGCATCGGATGGAAGGTGCCTCTCTTGGTCGATGCATTATTCATTAAGACTCTCGGCATTGAATATCAGTTTGATCGTGACTCGGAGTTAGGTGAAACCTTCAAAATTTTCGAATTAATATTTATTATTTGGTATAAAGAGTAATAGAAAAAAATTGACTCTAATTCAATTAGTTAGTAAATAATTAGCATTTTTCTTCAGATGCATTGTCAAAAGTGTATTAAAACAAAACGCAAAGACTTGTGCTGCAAATGAATGGCCTTCTTCTCAATATTAAGTTAATATACGGAATTTCCTAATGATATACGATACTTTGTCTAATTGAAATATTTTGGAATAAATAATTGAATTAGCAGATATACGATAAAACGCACAATGAGAACCACTGTCCAGTTTTCGAAATTATATTTTAAGCTTCTGACGTTATATATTCGAGCTTAGCATCCGTATTAATATTTATGTATAAGAAGCATTTTGCGCACGGTGATGAAAGAAACGCGCCTTATCTTTTGTTCTGTGATGTGAGCATTAAGTCCACTAACAAATTATACGGTCGAACTGAGAAACGAATGAGACATTTACAATCAAAATAATTTCATTATTGTGATTGATTATGAGTGATGAATTTATGGTGAGCGGTCACATTTTCCGTTCAGGAATGAGGACAATGGCAAAGGCTTTTCCCACTTTGTGTCACATGTCTCAAAATGCACTTCCTCCAAAAAAAAAACTCACTGTGTAGTTTAAATGCTAAACTTGAGGTTAAGAATTTCGAAATCTTTTAATTATAATTAATTTTGACACCAATCTTTGAGTGAGACATTGAGAAATGTAGACCACTCAATTAACGAGTCTCAAGGAAGTTTCGTGCTCGTCTTGCAGAACTGTTCACGAGGATTTTGGGCATGCGAACGTTGTGGGGACGACGACAGGGCTTCTGCAGGGCGTGGATTGGCACTCAACCATATGTCTTTATCTCAAAACCGTCAGTAGTCGAGGTAAGTCACGTTACGCAATAAAGGGAAGAATGGGGAATTTCGGATACTTCTTACACATTAGAAAAAAAAACATCTTTGAGTGTCAGGAAATTCCAGTGATAGATCAATGACAGTAAAAATATTAATCTTCTGAAAATCTAACTGGGAAGTTTCCTAGTCAAAATTCAGAAGATATGAATGCCAAACCCGCATGTTTATTTGAGGTAAAATGCTAAATGACTTAACATCTTGTTTAATGCTTATTTTGGCTTGATGAATTAACACTTCATGTATAGAAGTTGGTAATTAGGACTTTATTGCACAATAAGCAATTAGCATATATATGGATACGAACGATGATGAGAAATATATTAATGAACGTTTCGAAATTGCCCTTTCCTTCCCTAACTCAATAGACAAATCATTGAAAATACTCTCTCCTTCAGCCAATCCTGGGAAGCCCGAAGCACATCGACAAAAGCTCAGACTACAACTATCTTCATCCTTGGCTGGGAACTGGACTTCTGACGAGTTCCGGTGTTAAGTGGCATTCTCGGCGAAAGGTAAATTTCATGGCAGAATTAGCAATTTTGCTCGTCATCTGCGTAGAAATATTCCCAGTGTCTCTCTCTTCATGCAGATTCTGACGCCGGCTTTTCACTTCAAAATTCTTGAAGACTTTATCGATGTTTTCTCGGAGCAAAGCTCCATTTTAGCATCGAAATTGGCTGTCGAAGTTGAGAAAGAGTCTTTTAATATCTTCCCGTACGTGACACTGTGTACTCTGGATATTGTTTGTGGTGAGTTTTTAAATCATGACACCTTCATTTTGGTGTGTCTGATGGCATGAATTTATTATGGATAAACGTAAAAATGATTAACAGCTATAATTGATATTAAATACATGTGAAGGAAGGTCAATAACTCTTGATGCAGAGAGAAAAATACACCATGCGTGGAAAAAAGCACGGTCTTCGGTGAATTTAAATGATTTGAATAAAAGCATTGAGATGTTGTTGTAAGAAATTTATTAAAAAATGATAATTCTTCTCAAAAGATGTGACAGAAAAAAATTCATGTTTAGGTCATTCGGAAATGGAGGTAGCGAAGTATTGTGAGAATTGACCTTATGATAGCGGAATGTTTGAGAAAAACACAATACGCATCTTTTTCTTGCAGCATGAATTGACTAATTTTTTCCGGTTCTAGAAACGGCGATGGGCAGACAAGTCAATGCTCAGAGCAACAGTGACTCAGAATATGTGAAGGCGGTGTACGAGTAAGTATATGAAGAGAACTTTCTACTGCCGATGCGCATGAATATCAAGACATTGCTCATGCGATCATGCTTTGACCTTTCTTTTTTACACCCGCCCAGATTAGAGCCTCTACATTTCTACACACACATACTCTTCACCTAATTGTTTTCTCAATAACAAATCAAGCATAATTGAGCTTCTGATTGAATAATCCGACACATTATTAGTGAGAAAACTCACTCTCGGTGAGAACATCTTCAATTTCTTGCGTCCAGTACCCTCTTGGCACACATTTCGCCGCCCAACAACTTTTTCAGCTTGACCGGCAATTGAGATGTTGAGTAATTTTTGGCGAAAAATTATGGCATTTTCCCATTAAAAGTTTTTCGGCTGTGAGACTTGAGGTTGTCGTTCAGTGACCTTCTTGTACAGCAAGACAATTTACCGGAACATTAGGCCCCTGAGTTCCCAATCACTCAATCAAACCCTCGCAGGGCGTTCCTCTCGCACAGGGCAAGGAGTCACAGGAAAGTGGATGTCAGTCGTATGACGGTTTATATCACAAATCCATTGCTGTGGAAAATTAACCCACCCATCCACGTCACATTATTTTCCGTGGATACCATCATAAGTGTGCTGAATTGACTTGTGGAAGATGAGATTCTCAAGTTAACCGACAGCAAGTGTCACTCTCGCGTGCAAGAAGAAATATTGGAGGAAAAATTAAACTGTTTTTAAATCACGCCCACTTCAATGCTCCGCCAATTTAAATATTATTTTAAAAGCTCATATTATCCAAAAACACTAAAAAATCTAATGAAATCCTTTATTTACTGATTGATTATAGTTTTAAGGCCAGTTCAGTAAATTGTCTTGAATTTGCAAAATTTTGAAAGGTTGAAGAACTGAAGGATATTCATAAAATTACATTTCACACAATTACTATAGCTGTGATTTCCAATGAATTACTGCTCATGAGGCGGGAAAACCTTGTCAGCATATCCATTTCACTCTCGCGACCATCCACACATTCTGCCTCCCCCTGAACGCCCTGTATTGTATGATATGTAGTGATATGTCAATCATTTCTCTCCCATCAGAATTGGTTCCATTGTCTTGAATCGTCAGGCGAAGATATGGCTGCAGCCTGACATCATATTCAGGCACACGAAGCACTTTGCCGACCACCAGCGATGCCTCAAAGTCCTGCACGATTTCTCATACCGCGTCATCCGGGAGCGGAAGGAGATGATCAAGAAGAACGAGCTCAGGAAGCTCCAGAAGCTGGCCAACAACAATAACAACAACAACAACAACATCATGGACGGCTTGAGCATCGTGGAGCGCGACACTTCGGACTCCGAGGAGGAGAGAATGCAGTTCATCACGGCGGCGAGCATGCAGCAGGATTCTGACGAGGATGTCGTGGGCAAGAAGAAGAGACTCGCCTTCCTGGACCTCCTGATCGAGGCATCGCAAGACGGAAAGGTTCTCTCAAACGACGATATTCGCGAGGAGGTCGACACATTCATGGTGAGATTCAATTGAATTCGCTGGCATTTTCACGTATTCTCAAATAATCATGATGGTCTTCTTTTTTCCGGCTCTTCTTCTCATAGTTTGAAGGACATGACACCACATCAGGTAATTATTCCGCAATCCGCGGATGATGTGCGATCAATGCCTAGCGCGTGAAGTTAATTGATGGAATTCTTTACAGCTGCAATCAGCTGGACTCTGTTCCTCATCGGCTCTGACCCGGAAATTCAAGAGCGGGTCATTGAGGAAATCGACCTGGTCATGGGAGGCGATCGCGAGCGTGCGCCAACGATGAAGGAGCTTCTCGACATGAAATACCTGGAGTGCTGCATCAAGGAGGCGCTCAGACTCTACCCCAGTGTGCCCCTGATCGCGCGCCAGATCAAGGAGGACGTCAAAATCGACTCGTACACCATTCCGGCCGGCACCACCGCTATGATCGTCACGTACATGCTGCACAGGAACCCCGAGATCTACTACAAACCCGAGCAGTTCAATCCCGACCGCTTCCTGCCGCAGAACTGCATCGGACGCCATCCTTATGCGTACATCCCGTTCAGCGCCGGGCCGAGGAACTGCATCGGCCAGAAGTTCGCCATTCTGGAGGAGAAATCTGTGATTTCCGCCGTGCTGAGGAAATACAAGATCGAGGCCGTCGACCGACGGGAGGACCTCACGCTCATGGGCGAGCTGATCCTGCGACCCAAGGACGGACTTCGCGTGAGAATCACGCCGCGCCCTTAGCTTCTGGTCAGCTTGACGGCATTTGATCCTTATTTAGACCATAGATGATATTTATTTAATAAATAATGTCCAATGACAAAGACCTCAAATTAATTGTAACTCAGAGTAACAACTATACGCAATGTAAATAAATTTATACTTTAATAATCATTTTACCTAACGAAATTGAAAATGAGTGGAATTTGAATTCGTTATTGGCTCTGTGTTCAAATGTGGGCATTATGCATTTGCATGGTATTCCTATAGGCCTTTCGCAGCACATTTACCAGGTTTCACATGATTGTCCAAACATTTAAATGGCTTTCGGTGAATAGCCACACCGCCATATTGGGTTTTTATTGTTCGAACTCGCTGACTTTCATGCGAAGATGCATTCTATAACCATTCCATTTACAATATCTCATGGAAAATTTCTAATTTTTTTCTTTATAATTCATAAAGTGAGATTTTCTAAGCACAAAACAGCACGTATTGTCATAAATATTATAAGCAGAGATATGTCCATAGCGGAAAAATGTACTCATCTGTCTTTGAATTATTATGCACCAACCCGTAATTGTACGTGAGAGCGTTGTGGCGAGCGCTTTGCGAAGTCTCTTCGCCTTCGATGGGCTGCAAACAGTGTGTCATCTCGGCGATGACTGTCAGTCAGTGATCAGGAACTGAAGTTGTTGGAATTAATTTCTATTGTCCAGTGTTTCTCACTTTATTTTACGAGAAGAAAGTAGTGAAAATACTTGCGCAGGACTGCAAAGTCTCGAACGCCATGAATTTGCTGAGTGTTGCCCTTTGTGGCTTCCTAATTATCGGTGAGAAGCGCCTCAATGCCATTTTGCGTCTTATGTTTTTTTCATGCCCCCCACAAAACTCCTTTCTCTTTGTGTGTTTTGACAACGCTTTCGGGGAGTTTTTCACTGGAATTTCCACTGTGTTCGCAGGTGCTGCGCTCGCCTCGCCCATCATCGAGACCAGGGAGAAAGGCTTGGACCGCAGATGCTCGACAGGACCCCAGTTTTGGTGCAGAAACATCGCGTAAGGCTCCTTCGCATTGTGCTGCGCTCCATAAATTAGCCATTTGCGATAAGACGATCATTTTTTCGCGTCATGAATCATCCGAATGACACTCGTTATCGGCGCGGGTCAGCCAATGATCACTCTCTTTCTCTCTCTCTGGGAAGATATTTCAAGAACAAGTCTCCCTTTGTCCTCATTTCGGCAACAATTTGCAGAAAATCGCTCACATTTCACTCAATCCCACAATTATCTTGTGGGGTTTCATTGAGCGAGCATTTCCTCAGTGGAATTCTCCTCTGTTGACTCGCCATTGGACTGAGATTGCGTCCGTTGCGTCCAATGAGTCACACTCTTTCCCTGATGCATAATATCTCAGCCATCTCAGCAATTGTTCGGTCAATTTATCGAATTGTCCATGCTGCATAAATGCAGCTAAAGAGCCAAAGAACAGGAGACAAAGAACTCATGACGATGCTTATTCCACTTCCTTCTAATCTCTGCTTATTGACAATTCATCTCTGACACTCAACACCCTCACACGATCATTAGGCTGAGAAAAGCCCTCATGAAGACACTCAAAATTGCTGCCTTTTCGCCACGGACGAGCGCCCATTTCCTCTGCGGTCTTGTCTACCGACCAAATTATTTCTCATTGTGTGCCGTTGAAGGAAAAGAAATCAATAAGTGTTTGACGGTTATGCAATGGTGTTTATTTCAATACTTCTCCCAATACAGGGTCATTCGCTTTGCCGGAGAGTTTTTTCTTCTCCTTCGGCGATTCGCTCAGAGACCTTTTCTCAATTTGGCGTGTTTTCGCCATCGCGTCGAATTCCATTGAAAGTGACGGAACAGATTCTCACCCCGATATTCTCAATAGATAACCCGCGATTGCAGAATCTTGGCCAGAGAACGCAAACAAGTCGGGAAATATTTATTCAAACTGCTTTCAAGATGCTTCGCAAGGCACAAATGAAGTTAATATTCTGAAATCAAGGTGTTGAAGTCGAATATGAGATCTTTTTGATATCTGAAACATCAGCCTAGGATATCACAAGAAATTCCATTTTGAGTAAAAAGAAGAAAAGCGACAATACAAATTCTGCAATTATTTTAAGCACGAAGTTAATGAGTGAAGAGCATTGAGAAAATAAAAGAAAACAAATCTATGGAAAACAAACATTCCCGAGAAAAAAAAAATGTGGAACAGGACTTATGTATTATTTTCTGGAAATGTAAGAATAAGATTCACCAAATGAAGGCTTTGCTTCCAAACAAATAAAGAAATGTTCGTAAATGCTAAAGTGCTCGTAAATAAGAAACTTCAGTTTTTCGGAATACCAAGTAATTGTCGTCAAAAGATCTGTTTCTATGCGATGTAGATTCTTAATAGTTGAACCAGCAGGCTGGGGAGATTCTATTCACGCACGAGTAAATCTTGACTTGAAATCATATTATATATAACACTGCTTTTATTGTTAAAATTACTTTTATTAGAACTAATTCCGTTTAATTACCCGCATAAATTAATCACAAAAGAAATATAAATATTAGGGCAATTGAAACCCAACCTTATATCCAAGACAAGGAGCGTTCTTTTTCATATCTCATGAATATTTGCGGAGAAATATTTGTGAGAAGCAATGCGAAATATGAATAATTCATAGACTATTTCTATGCAAGCACCAGTAAATCGTAAGACAAAAACTAATAATTACATCTCAAAGCTGTGCCAAATCACAATTACATGCCGTTTTATGAGTGAGAACAGATAAGAAATAGACAAATTGTCATCCAAGTGGCGTTCTGTTATTGTTAGGCTGAAGTAGACAAGCTTTTCCACTGCGAGGCACATTTTTTCGTGATGATTTATTTGTTAATGACACTGAATATAAATTGCGGCATGCGAAATGCATTTTCTCAATTGCAGATCCGCCAAGACATGCAACGCCGTGACTCACTGCATTCAGACGGTGTGGGAGAAGCAGAATGTGCCTGAGGATCACGATTCCATCTGCAAGATCTGCCTGGACATGGTGCAGCAGGCGCGCGATCAGCTGGAGAGCAATCAGACGCAGTCGGATTTGCGCGACGTGTTCGAGGGCTCGTGCAAGCTGATCCCCATCAAGCTGGTGCGCAAGGAGTGCATCAAGATGGCAGATGACTTCGTGCCCGAGCTGATCGAGGCCCTGGCGTCGCAGATGAATCCGCAGATGGTGTGCTCAGTGGCGGGCTTGTGCAACAACGCGAACGTCGACAAGCTGTTGGAGATGGAACAATCGTCGTCGTCATCGTCAGAGGTGGAAGAGCTCGTGCCGCGCGTTGAGACCGAAGATGTGGATGACTTCACGTGCGATCGTTGCAACAAGATAGCAGGTGAAATTGCACGCAAATTCGCCAATGCCGACCGCGACACAGTTCTGGAGAATATGCTGCTCTACTGTGGAAAGATGTCGTCCTTCTCGGACGCCTGCTCGAGCATTGTGCTGACGTACTTCAATGAGATCTACGATCACATGGTGGAGAACTTCAATGAGAAGAGCATTTGCCACATCAGTGGCGTTTGCGCTCACAAATTCCACGTGCATTCGGAGATTGTTGAGATTCGGCCGATGGGCAATGTGGGTGTGATGCCAGTGAAGGATGACATTCCCTGTGAGCTCTGCGAGCAGCTGGTCCGGCATCTCAGGGACGTGCTGATCGCCAACACGACCGAGTCGGAGTTCAAGATGGTTCTGGAGGGATTCTGCAAGCAAACGGGAAGCTTCAAGCCCGAATGCCTGAGCATTGTGGATCAGTACTACGACAAAATCTACAGTTCGCTGGTGAATGAACTGGACGAGAAGGGTGCTTGCTTCCTCATTGGCATTTGTCCGAAAGGTGTTGCTGGAATTAGCGAACATGCCCAGATCATGCCACTTCTGCCCGCTCTGCAAGCCCAGGAGATTCAAGTGACTCTCAAGAAGATTACGCCGAAACCGCCTAAGAGATTGCTCGGTGAGGGCGAGAAGCAATACACAAATGAGGAGATCATGAACATGCAACTGCCTATCGATCGTATTATGGGTCCGCAGAATCCTTTCTACCTCATCGACAATGGGAAATACTGCCTGCTGTGCGAATATGTGATGCACTTCCTCCAAGATGCCCTCGCTTCTCCGGACAATGAGGACAAAATCAAGTCGGAAGTGAAGAAGGTGTGCGACAGAATTCCCTCCACATTTGGAGCTGAGTGTCAGAATTTCATTGACGTGTATGGAGACGCAATTGTGGCTATTTTGGTGCAGGACTGTGACCCGAGCATTGTGAGTATTTGTCACGACACAATATAAGGAATAGAAGTGAAAACACTTTCTTTGTAGGTTTGCCCACGCCTTCACTTCTGTCCCAGTCGTCGTGAATCTGATGTAGAGATCTTCGCGCCGGACAATCTGGAGATCACTGTGGATATCTCCAATACTGGCGCTGATAAGCCAATGTGCCCGCTCTGTCTGTTGGCCGTGAAGGACGTGCAGGAAACTATCCAGAGTGACAAATCCAAAGCCAACATCATCAAGTGCCTTAACAATCTCTGCACACATTTGCCGCGCAAGCTCATGGGCGAGTGCAACGACTTTGTGGAGACGTACTCTTCAGAGCTTGTGGATATGCTCATCAATGACTTCTCACCTGAGGAGATCTGCGTAAATCTGAGATTGTGCCAAGACAATACGCCGAAGATAAGGAAGGAGAACAATGACATATTCACGAATGAAATTCCCGATGACACCGTCAATGGACAGTTCGTCACGAATGATTTCACGCCTCGACGTTACGAAACCACACCCGAGTGCCTTCTGTGCGAGCGAGTTATCAACGAAGTGGAGAAGAAGGTGGTGAACAAGAAGTCGAAGGAGCAGATTAAGCATGCTCTCGAGCACGCATGCGACAAGGTGAAGAAGTACCGTGAGAAGTGTCTGGATTATGTTGAGAAGCACGGCGATCAGATTGCGGATATGATCATGAAAGATTTGGCGCCGAAAGAGATTTGCCGCATTCTGGGCTACTGCTTGCCGTTCAACGATGAACTGGATGTCAGCGAACCAGATTGTGAGTATCCAAGTAGAAGAATAAGGAAAGAAATTTGGTTGCATTACTTGAAACAATAATTATAAGTTGCTTAGATCGATCAAAAGTGTTACGAAAACTTACAAAGCACATTTTTCAGTGGAAATCGATGAAGCTCTCTCTATCACGGTGATCGCAAAGCCTGCAAATCCCGAGAAGATCATCGAGGCTCCAAGTCAACGCGACAATCAGTGCACTCTCTGTCAGTTTATCATCCAGCAACTGGAGAAGGACTTGATGAACAACAAAACTGAGGAAGAAGTGAAAGAGGCCATTGAAAATGTGTGCAGGAAATTGCCGGCGAAATTGGCGCAACCTTGCAATCAATTTATCGAGCGCTACACAGAAATAATCCTCTCGATTTTGGCAACGGCGCCCCCAAGTGAAGTGTGTAAGAAACTCGGCCTCTGTCCGGGATTCGAAGTCGAAGTCGAGGTGCCGCCGCAGTTTATCGAGAGCAAGAAGGAGGTGATTGAGTGTGCCATTTGCCAAAGCGCCGTAATCGAATTGGACAAATTGCTGCGCGATCCGCAAATTGAGAAGGATGTCGAGAAGCTTGGCCTCAAGATCTGCGGCGTCATGCCGTCGAAGTACTATGCAAAAGTGAGTTGCTGTGCTTTGTTTGTAGTGAGATGATTATGAATTATTTGTTTGGTTGCAGTGCAAGGAAATGGTGGAGATTTATGGGCAGAGCATGATCAACTTGATCGTGGCGAAGAGCGATCCTGAGAAGGTGTGCGAGAAGATTGCCATGTGCTTCGCCGGAGAGCATCCAGGGTACATTCAGCTGATAGACGGTGAAGTGACGCCCAGGACGGCTGAGGTGAAGCACAAAGATCGTCTCGTGGGCGCGAATGAGTGCACTTGGGGCCCGTCCCACTGGTGTGCCAACGAGGAGAACGCCAAGAAGTGCAACGTAAGAACTTGAATTGACTTGTGTCTTGACTTAATTGGCTAATTTCTCTCGCTCTTCTACCTTCAGATGATGGCTCATTGTGCCGAGAAGTACTGGAAGGACGGCAAAGCGGGTGCGTAAAACAGAGGTGAAGGATAGTTCAGCATATTCAAAGCATTGTTTACCCCCTTCTTAAAATCTTCATAGTGTTTGATATAAGAGATTGACGAAGAAACCTAATAATTCTTACCAAAAAAAAGATCAAATAAATATAAATACTTTAGCACAGTCCCTAATAATGGTAGTAAGAGGTTTTACGATTTCTGAGGAAGTGTAATAAGAATTTTTGTGTACATTAGAGTTTGAGAGAAGAGGAGAAGAAGTTTGCGTGGAAGAGGAGATGTTTATACTATTTGCCTGAAAGAAGAAGATTCAGCTGTATTTTTATCGCTCTAAATATCGATGACTGTGACGCTGTAAATTCATGATGAGTGTGAAGGAACAAATCGAGAGATTGAAATAAAACTATTTGGATTTTTCCCATTGCTCTGTTACTTCCACTCGAGCGCGAGAGAAGCCCGAAATGCTGCTGAGGAAGATGAATTGCGGGCTGTAATATCCGGACGATTGTGTGCGTGCAAGAGGCCAGGCATGCGCATCCGGTGACTGTGGCAATCTGTCATTTGTGCAGGAGAGTGAAAACTGTGGGAAAATCCCGAGTATATGTGTAATAGTGAAGAAATTACATTGAATTGCATTATGAGGTAGACGCAATAAAAGGGACGTGATTTGATTAAGTGATTAGCATCGAATTTAAAGCAGCCTGCGAGTGGAGAGACTGAAGATTGTGACTTTGTGAGGCATTTTCCTTTGGCTCTGTCGCTTTTTTTGCTCTGCATTTTCCAACTCTACAATTAACTTGGCATTTGATATTGAATGGGAATTTGCTGTGTTGCTCAGTGGCACAATTTTGCCGGCATAATTTAATTAGATTGTCATGAATGAATTCAGAGAGTGAAGCATCGGAAAATTGTGTCGTTTTTCTCTCATTTGTTTGTTATATGCATTATCGATTTTCCCGGCTACCTGCCCTCAGACAGCAACACAGTGCACACAGTTTTCCGTGTGGTTGTGCGAACTGCGATGGAATACTGTTGCATACGTGAAGGGAAAACAGGGCCAAAATGAAGTAGAATTCAGTAAAAAAAAAAAGTAAAAGAGATGTGAGCGGATTTTCCTGTAAAAATGCAATCAATGACGGAAAATGTCTGAGGCAATGCTAAATCAGTCGGGGCAGCAAAATCAATCTGACGAATTGAATTTCACCGCTTTCACTGATCTCTGTCGCTTCTGTTCGCTGAAGAATGGCCCAAAGCTGCACCTGTTCGACAAAGAGGCCGAGCAGCGGCAGATCATCTTCAAAATACGCTCTCTTTTGCCAGTGGTGGTGAGGTTTTTCTGTCGTCTCAGTTCACAATGGAAAAACCGCATTGCAAAACGCGTCGAGCTAATTTTCCCACCTTTGCAGATCAGCAAGGAGGATTTCTTGCCAAAGAAAATCTGTGAGCTTTGCGTCAATCGTCTGGAGACGCTGTTCGAGTGGCGCGCGAATTGCGTGCAAACTGACGTGGTGCTGCGAAACTATGCGGAATCTATGAGAGCGGTAACTGCTACTATCAACTTTCAGGTGAGTCCAAACTCTCGCCCTTTTCTCTCTGATTTTCCGTGGGAAAATCGCATTCAGACAAAATGCATTTAGCAAACAATTTAATATAAATTCTACTGGGAAAACATTTCTGCAACCAGTGATTTGCAGTATTAACTTTCTCAACAGAATTTCATCAGTGAGAATGATAAACACCAATTATTACAAATGACTAGTTATTCTTTTCATTTCATCCGAATAATATTTAATTCGCATATAAAATTTTCTGCCTAGTGTAGAATATACAAATTGACAATTTTCCTTTTAATTGTCTTTGTTCTTTCCTCTTATTCAATGGACTTGAAATATGATAAAGTGTTCTTTTATATTTTGGCTTTCATGAATCTTGAGCTGTTATCTTTGTAGGAATAAAAATTTCATTAAAAATTCGGAAATCTGAGTAAACATTCCAAACATTTTTCTTACTTTTTCGACTTCTCATCAAAATGTTGTTAAAATATTTTTAAACTGAAAAAATAATGTTCAATTCGAAAGGCGCTTCGGAACGTGCAGAAAATTTGATTCAGAAACTCAATCATCCGTTCTGCAGCTGACTGTATAGCCTCATAGTTGCCACCCTTGGGGTGGAAATTTCTTTTCATTCCTCATTTCCACCCAACTGCCAATGTCGCCGTTGTGTGTACACTTTAAATCAATAAAACACTCTCTTGGCTGGCTTTTTTCCTTCCTCCAATTTTATTTTATATAATGGCCCTCACATACCTTGTAAGGACATTATACAACATTTTGTAATCTATATGGAAAGTCTATTTATTTGCCTCTTGTCACAAACACCAAAAGCCCGCAGAGAGAGAGAGCTTCCCAAGTCGCTCGGCGTGTAAGAGTTTGTGTGTGCCATGTAAAGTGCCGAATGGGGGGATCGAGAACGCGGCTCTCGAAATTCGACGGAGGGACGTCGTATTGATCCTTCACCCCAGACTCATGCTCAGTGCCGAGGAGGGGTGTTCAGGGGGCTGGGGTGGGCGAGCCATACATATTTGCTTGCGACTGTAAATACGAGCGCCGCGCTGCACTCGAAGGGACACACACACGCCTTGCGGCGACGTCGCCTCCTTCTGGCCTCGTGCACGGAAGTGTCCGCTCTGTCGGTCACTGCAGACAATACGAGCCACTTCCGGCTGCACACAGTCGCACCGGCTCCTTCGCACCTCGCCTGTGCACTTCGGGGAAAATCCTCGATGGGGTGGGCGCATAATAATCACTTTCGCTGCCAATCTGAGGCCCAGCATCGGCATCTGCGAGTGTGGAAAATACTCATCTGTCGACTCGCAGTGGCGGATCAGCGAGCGCTCTGCAGCTGAGCCAATATCAATAAAAATCACGGCCCGAAAAGGTGTGCGGAAGAAGAATCCATCACTGTATCACATGGAGCTCCCCATTGGCCCGTGCCTCCCTTGCGATGGTGAGGCGCACAGCACAGGATCGGGCTCGGGGTGCCAATTGATTTTCGTGGAAACACAAGTTGACATCGCACTTGAGGCACTTTCAGCAAGCACAATGCGAAAGAAGGGAAAGAAGCCGAATGGAAGTATAAGAAAAATGTCGGATAAATGACTTAAACTGAGAAGAACTTTCTCTGCACTTTTCTTGGTACTGCATCTGAGTCTTGTTGAAATCGTAGATTTTTTCATTTATTTAATTTATTAAAAGCACCTCCCTGTCTAGCGCCCCTGGCGCGAACGGTTAAAATCCGAGATCGTACAGTCATAAGTTAAGATACAAGTCTGCGGTGACAGACCCAGATTCTCACACGATAAGTCTATCAAAAAAAAACTGTCTATCTAAAATAGTTAGACAGGAGAGTATGAAGACTAAGGCAATTTGAAGATCTCTAAATTGACAGATATTGACGCCTTCCTTGCGGGTTGCCCTCGTGCGGCCCTGCGCGCCGCATTGAGCTCATATCAGAAAGGGAGGGAAATTGCCAAGGGGGAGTGGATGGCGGTGAGGCCGTTTATAAATTACATCGGTTTATGAACACACCATCCACATGACGTATGTGTATGTGTGCCGAGTGTAATGTGTATGTCCGTACATGGGGAAGGGAAAGGGACTGGCTTGGAGCGAGGGCTGAGGGTGGAAATGCCTGCCGCCGCTCGGTTGGTGGTGAGCCAGGAAATTTTCTTCGACTCGGGCTTGACGGACGGCGGCACGACACTCAAACGGAGAAAGGCGCTTGTACGTCGCGCGCGCGGAATTCTTCCTCCCTACGGACTCTTGCTGCACAGTTCTCCCTTCGGGGTGAAGGACTCCCACTTGTGCCGTGGAATTGTACACACAATTTAATATTGACGCTCATCAGTGCAAGTGAACGCGGATTTTTTGCGTCTGGGGGACTTTCGAGCGCCTCCGCTTTCCGGGTTGTGCAATATAGAAGTGCAAAGGGTGCGGAATTTCAGAGAGTGCTGCAAATGAAGGGTGTGTAATGAATTAATGTGATGCAGTGCAAAATGCAAAGTGCTGCTCAGGCTTAGTCATCAGGCACTGAGATTGGAATAGAGGCGAATCTTCTACCATCAATACACCCGGAATACGAGCACTGTCTGGCATAATTCGGTTATGCAATATGTTTTTTGTGAGTACCTCAGCAGAATCCGTGCAAATATTGCACTGGCCAGTGAAAATCTCACTCCACAGCGCGCTGGGCGACGCCGAGGGGGCGGGGAAGAGCGAAGGAAGAGACTTTCCTGGTATGGTGCGGGAAATCCCCATCCCACCAGTTCAGCAGGGGTGGTTTGGGGCCGAGGTGTAGCGTTCTCCACAGAACGTCGTACATTTGTGATTCGGCGTTAAATTTCTGCCACTGGATATGTACAAGGGCGCCCATATATGTTACTCTTATGTGGAGAGATTGTGAGGGGAATTCTGCGAGGGAAATCCATATTAGAAGGGAAATTCGGTCCGCACCGCAATTGTTCGTCTCCTCCTCATGCTATATAGCAAATCCCACCATCTCCTCCACCACTACCAACACCGCCGGCCGACTCGGGGTTGTGCCGCTCGAACGTTTTGCCGCTGTGTGTATGACTGTTTCAATTAGTTTTATTGATTTTAACATAAATTCGAATTGAAACTGAGCTCTGCGCGACTCCCTTTGCCCACACACGCCCGCGAGAGTGTTGCATTGCTATGTGGCCACTGCTGCTGCTCCACTCAATTCCGCCCTCCTTGCAGGATGGCCAAGTGAACATTGACAAGATGTCCTCGGCGCAGAAGAATGCCTATCTGGAGGCCCACATGGCGGTGCAGCAGCACATGGCCCAGGCTGCGGCCATGCAGCTCAAGCAGCAAGTCCTGTCGCGACCCGGCCATGGCGCCGACAACACGGGCAACAGCCAGCAGCCGCAGCAGCCCGGACAAACGCAACACTCGCCGTCGAATGTGACGTCGTCGCATCACTACGGCAGCACAATAAAGGTTCCGCAAATTAGCTCCTCGAGTTCCGGCGGTGCCGACAGCACATTCACAGTGCCCGATGACGTGGGAATGGGCTACGAAGGAGGGGTGCGAGTTCTGCAGAGTCTAGGCAATTGGTACGTCCACTCCAATTAATGCACGCTCTCTAAGTGTTTAATTCAATTCTGCTCGTCAGAATGAAATTTTCCTGTAAAATGGTTAGAAGTTAGGGGTAGATTTATAGGCAATGGTGTTGATTATTACCACAATTGGAAGAATTGGTGTTTCGCGAGTAAAATCGTTGTAAACTATCAATTGGCATTAATGAAAATATTGTTAATTAAACAAAAATCGAGTGAAACTGAAAAGAAAATTACAAATGAATAGTGAAAGTAGCAGAAATTCATAAATGCGTTTAAGGCAGAATTTGGTTTATTTTGTTCCAAAAATTATAGACCTCAATCTAATTCCTCAAAAGATATTCAATTTAGCTAGAGATGAGGCAAATTCCTACTCTTTTCACCTTCTTGATAGTATGTTTAGAAGACTTGTTTTATGTGTTTATTTTTATTAATTCCTTCCATGCTCACTTCGCAGGACGCCTGACATTCCTCCCAATGTGCCACGTCCGAACTTGATACCCTTCACGGAGCCGTACGTCGAGGGGGGCTCGATGCACCCCGCGAGCCGCCTGAAGGCTCTGCAGCAAGTGCAACAAGCGTCAAGTGGTATTAGAAAGACGAACCCATCATCCAAAAGTACTAGCACTGGCGACACGAGTATAATCAATACAATACTTTCTCACATCCGACATTGATGAATGGCACTAATTGCACGTAATCTCTCTGGTTAGGTCACAAGGCGTTCGAGTGCTCGGTGTGCGGAAAGGGATTGGCCAGAAAAGATAAATTAACAATTCACATGCGTATACACACGGGAGAAAAACCTTACATTTGTGAAGTATATTCTTTAGCTGAGAAAATTATGTGGATGGCGTGCACGCTGAAGTTGAATTAATTGTGCGTCTCTTCTCTCTTCCGCCCTCGCGCGAATCTAGGTGTGCAATAAGGCGTTCGCCAGGCGAGATAAGCTTGTGATCCACATGAATAAGTTTAAGCATGTCACCCCGACCAACATTGCACCGCTGGGGAAGCGCCACAACAACTTGACGGTGAAGAAGAAGGAGGAGAACAACGAGAACACCAAACAGTCCGCCATCGATCACCAGAGCCTGGCGCAGCAGACCACTCAGGCCGTGGGCCACAGCATGGTGCCGCCACAGCAGCCGCATCCGCAGACCAGCGCCCCAATTCCGGGCGTCCCGCTGCCGCACCACCACCAGCAGCAGCTGTCGTGGACCTGCGAGCTGTGCGGCCGCATGTTCTCCACCAGAGACGAGTGGTCGTTGCACGCCAAGAGTCACTTAGAGGTACAAAAAGCTCCAACGGTGGTTAATATTTCGGCTGCGGAGGAAAAAAACATACCCATATCTGTGCTAATGACTCCGCGACCTACGGATTTATTTGTACATTTTGATTAGCTCAGAGAAGCATTTAGCTATTCAAATTGGCCATTTCGGATCCGCATGCTTTCCGTGCCGTAACTCACATTTTTTGGGCGCCAGCAATTTCATTTCTGCAATACAGTGCAGAGAGTTTGGCATAGTTTTCGCATTCTAAACTTGGAAATCAATTATTGGTATTCATAACTCTTTGTCGTGAAGTTTAGCATCAAAAATACATTTTATGAGGCAATACAACTTAATGCCTTATTAGTATTTAAAGACAATTTTCTTTCTGAAATTGCCTCTTAAGCGTTATGTTTGTGTTTCACAAAGCACATATTAAATAAAAACCAAAATGTAATTGAGCATAGAAAGCAGTGAAAATATCCGATGTTACCTTGTACTTTTCACACTTTTTTGAAGACCAACACTATATTTTACTGCTTCTTGCGCTAATTTTGCGAGGATTCGCGCAATTAATGTATTTGTAATGCCCTAACACAATTTATTATTGTTTTACAATCTTAGCATTAGCATGCGAAAGATTTTAGACTATTGCTTCAAAGTTACTCTTTCAGAAATGTCTAAATATTGCGAATGATCTCATCATATAAATTACTTTTCTGTGTCACCAGACATATTGATGAATTGGAGTCCAAAAATGTGAATATTCACGAGTCAGAATTAATTTCTCAATTTGCTAAAGACACGTGAGTTATGTCTACTGATAGGAAAAATCCGCGAATGGGCGCTTAAATGCAGTTTTCTCTTCCTGCACGCTTCTGTGACAAATAGTGTGGTATTTTCTCAGTGACTCTCTCGAACGCAATCGTGATGGTTGAAAAATAGAGCACAAATTGTCTATGATGAATTTTTCATATTATAAAGAGAGGAAGTATGAAAGTTGAAATTTTTTTCTTCTTTACTTTGACGTCACTGCAAAATGACTTAATTATTCTGGGTAAATTTGAAACGGTCTACAAAATTGCCAAGAAGCGGAGAGTTTGAATTTTTATTTCTATTCCACGCGTTCCATGTGAATGCAGATCAACATAATATTATGTACATACGGTCGTCTCCGAAAGTTACACAGAAAGTACAAATATATTTTTGCATTGCATGGCGAAGAGAGAAGCATCGCGAAGAGTGTTTAACGTCGGAAATTTCCTGCAACTCATTGACACAATCCATAAACCATGACTTCTTCTGGCTTATGGCCAAAAGTAATCATATTAACTCGTTGCTCTCTTGCAGTATTGACATCAGGAAAAGGCAAACGGTGTGATGGCGCAGCATAGCAATGGCTCAGGTTTGGGAGCAGGTATGTTTCCTGTGAAGGACACAAAGTTGTTACCTCATCAAAACCAAGCTCTTCTGTCGCAGCAGCGTCGAGCTCACGGCGCTCATCAGCCAGCCTCAAGCGGCGCCTTAAGCGGCTGCCCAGCGAGTAGTAAATCACTGGCCGCTCCGCAATTTCTCCACTCGTCAGCCGGCAGCGCGGCCGATCCAAATGAGCGTCAATGGCATCTCGGTCAGTGCGCGATGCTCGCCAACTCCACACTCCAGCATCATCAGTACGCCAGCAGCGCGTTCTCCACGGCACAGATCTCGGCATTCAGCACCCAGTGAGCATCCTTCCAGGACTCATCCTGTACATAACCCGGAGGCGACAGCTCAACTCTCAATTCTAAAGGCAAAGAAATCAACCAATGAATTAAATTCAGTCAAATATAACTTTGTATGGAAGCATTTGTATGAAAACCACGATTTCACGAGTATATGAATTCAGATTTTTTCTATGAACATGCAAAAGATATTTTGCAATTTCGATGTAGATATGATTTGTTGATTTTCACTGAAGAAGATAACAAGTGTAATGATCAAATATTAATCATGATGAAGAATTATGGTCGTGTATAAAAATAAATAGACGAAGAAATAATCAAATTAATACCTTCAATTTACGATGATGCATGAATAATAAAAAAAAATAATGCAGAGTGGGGATGATAAAGTGAGGTTATTTAACATTTGAGGGGACTTGTATTGCATATTAAATAATTAAAAGATGAGAAATAGAAGAAAAAACCTATATAACTGAATATATATCACATATCTGAATTAGAAAATTTACGTTTATTATACTCATGAACGGAACAGAGCAGTAAAAACATCAGATTGAAATTCAGGTTTGAATTTGGGGCATTAAATTGAAGGGAGTCTCTTAAAATAGCGCAGAAGAGATGCGAATAGAAAGAGTATGTAAAACACTAGATTGTAATACAATAAAAAGAAAACAAATTGTATTTATGGATTTGTTTTTTGAACTATAGTGGAAAGAGGGGCAGTTTTAGGATATTGATTGATCAATTATACGGAGAGGAGTTACTTATAACAATTGAAAAGCTGCATTTCTTACTAAAAAAAAAAAGTCTAATAAAAAATACTATCATTAATTTCTTTTAGAATCTCGTTATAAGCAGCGCGAAATGTTAATTTTTCAACAAAGATTAAGTGTGAAACATATTTTTCCTACTTATCCTTCTCCCTTAAATTATACGATAAAGCACACTAAATAGCCATTAGCGCCATTAGACAATTTGATTAATCATTTATGCCAGATGAGCTCATTACAGTTAAGATTTAGAATGTTGATGCGGATTTGCATATTTCTGCACGGCGTTTCAATTGCAGTAATTGCGTAGTTGCAGAAAAGCTGCAAATTCGCCTTTTGCAGCTCTTTGAAAATTATGCTGAACTGTAAGTGATCTTGATGCCTACAAAAAAGGCAGATATGAAATGTAAATTTCAGTTCAGATCACCATTGAATTGCACAGGAGAGAGAATTTAATCAAAATCCCCATCATCTGCTACACTGGCGCTCTCTTTCTCACCTGCGCGCTTCTTCACCACTCTGTGACCATCAAGATGATCCAGTATAAAAGCAGTCTGAGGATTTGCAACAAGTTTAGTTTCTTCCGTGGCGCTCAACAAAACGGAGATACCGTTCACGCAAGATCGCATACAGATCATCATGATGGAGCGTTTGGTAAGTTTTGACCGCGGCGCGTATAGAAAGTTTTTCCAATATCATCAAGTAAAGAGTGCAAACCACAAAATTCCAATAGCCATGTCAACAAGTGAAATTAACATAATTCCAAGAAATGTTATTTCGACATAAATTCTATCTTACACACTTTTTCTCCGCAGTGCGATTTGAAGTTTTCATTGTGCCAAAAACATGCCTATTAACTGTTGTTCGTGAAGCCATCATCGCACGATGATAAATCAAGTTCATATGGGCATATTTCTCAACGCGCGCGCGCGCGCTACTCAAGAAGAAAAGTGAAAAGATAAGGAGTGGATGGAAAAAAAGTAATTGCAACTCTAATCAACATTGGACGACGATGGCCGGATAAGAGAGCTTTTGAGAGATAATTTCTCTCACTCATTGTAATTTGTGATCGATTACACTGAATTTCTAATTGATTGCATGGCAATTAGATATTTTTGTGCATCGCTCGCGCAATGTCAATGTGCTGCTTTTTCGGTGTCACTCAATTTGAATCTCCATTGAACTTGAATACACCTTTTAATATAGCCATAAAATCTCCTTTCCACCATCACAGCGAACCAGTTCTTGCAATCTCAGGCTCAATATCGATATCCGGAACTTGAAAACATGCAGCACACAGTGCATATTTAGTAAGAAATCGCACAAGCGACTTTTCACAGTCACTTGAGGATCAATTCTGCGATCAATTAAGAAAAATTGTGTGTGGAAATGTATGTGCATAAAGTGAAAGTGGTGGTGAGATGACCTTCCCGAGGCATTCCAGCATTTTCTTATCTACCACTGCAGTTTATTGCACCTCCTGTGCTTTTGCCGCGCAATTGATGTGGTGAACTTCACACCATTCGCGAGGGATGTTTAAAAAGTGCGCTACAATTGTGCGATTGACAGCGGCGATCGTTCGTGAGAATGATGCAGGAGGAAGTGTGAAATTATCCATCTCGTGATGTTTGGTCGGTGGGTTTAATTGCGGGCACATAACGGGCGCTATAGAAATGAGAAAATCCCAATGGTGATAATTGATGTCTTGGCTGAAAGTGTGCACTGTAACATACAAGAATAAAATGGAAAAGTAAATCATTTGCCATCGCGACTTTTTGTATTTGCCTCGCATCGCGCTGGATGCTTTTTAGAAAATGCATCCAACATTCACTCTACATTTGCTCTTTTCACATGTATAATTGGAGATGAAAAAGAGAAAATTTCAATTTATTTTCCATAGATTGTGGTTTTTATCACTGCAGCCGTTATGTGTGGTGCCTCGCAGGCTGTGCAGCACTATAGTTTTGCCGAACCGCGCGCAGATCCCAATGTCAAGGGGCACTACAGCTACTCAGATCCTGGTGCTATCTTTCATGTCACCTATGAAACGGACAAGAAGGTCGAATTGTGCCGTAAATCAGTCTTGCGGAACTGCTTTTCTAATCTGCTCTCGTCTCTTGCAGACTTCATCCAAGACCTCTTCTCCTGAGCGCGATTTCAGCGAAATCGGGAGCTTTGGTGGTCACCGAAATACCCACATTTCGGATTTTAACCGACCAATCTACATCGTCAACACCAACAATGACGAGGACAAGTTCGAGGAGAAGGTCAACTATAAGATAGCATCGACCACGAGCAAGCCTTCCTACAAATTCCCAGCCTTCCAGTTCACCACAACGCCCAGTCCTGCCTTCAACAGCCTGCCCATCGCGCACGCCAACAAGCCTGGCCAGAGTAGCTTCCGGCCCCTGACGACTAAGTTCAGCGTGAACCATCCTCACCCGCCAAGTCACTCTTCCCACTCACATCAGGGCATCAGCAGCCGCTACCAGCAGTATTCCCAGGACGAGGAAGAGGAATACGTGGAGACGAAGCGCGAGAAGACCAACACTGCGCCAGTCTCAGACAAGTATCTCAACGACTACCAACAGGCACTCTCCAAGCTCCAGGCGGCGTCCACGAACATCGCGCGGCGCCCCAATGCGCCCAAGAGCCAGATCAAGTACGTCGGCCCGCCGTCCAACTCCCCCAACAGTTATCTCCCAAAATCCAAGCCCATCCAGTTTTCCGGCGAGCCCGACGCCAAACTCTTCAAGCCTAAGTTCAAGCTGCAGAAAGTGCCCAATCTCTACCCACGCGATGACGCACCCTTCAAGCCCTCCGTGGGCTATCCCAACAAGGGCGCACCCGCGAAGCAGGAGTTCTACGAAGTACCCGAGTATGTCTACTCCAAAGACGATGTGCAATACTACAACGTGGACGGCGGCGCTAGCCCGCCGGCCAAGAGTCAGAATCCGCAGTACCTGAAGCGACAGAACCAAATGAAGCACCAACCGCAGCTTGCCATGGAGAAGCTGAAGAAGTCACGCAATCCCTACAGCTTCGGCCAGGCGAGCCAAACGAATTTCCGCCCCATCGCGCCCCCGCAACCCCCGCACAGGTTCAGCATGCCCAGGAGGAAACCATCGAGGGCCTTCACGCCCGCCGGCCCGCCGCGCAACTTCAAGACGCGACCCCTCGTCGATGGACCCTACTCCATCCGCATCTCCATGTAGTTTCTCTCATTGTTTTCGTGCGTTTTCACTCTAGAGTACAGTGATGTTCATACAATGCTAATTTTGTACCAATTTTCGTTGTAACGGTTTGTTATGATATTAATTTATTAGATTATAAATAAAAAGAAATCAAATAGAAATGTTTGTACCTTGAATTTCACCGGTCGTTGAGTTTCCACCGCCGAAATGTATGCAGAACATTGAACTTTACAATATGAATTCATCGATTCAGCAGAGACACAAATTGGAAGACTCTCTTATGGCGGTGTGTCCAGGATGATATTAAATTGAAATACTCAACTTGATTCCTTTCAAGCTGTAAGAGACCTTTTTAAAAATTGATGTAAAATTAATGTAAAATGTAAAATTAATGTAAAATAATGCTATAGTTGCTAATTTGTTGAAATGCAAACGAAACTGAGAAAACTGCAATGTTTATGAGAATAATATTGGAAACTTTGGCATTGTGGAGTTTCAAAGATTCCGAAGCACCTCTGCAATTGTTCATTGTGCTAATTGAGTGATAGGAAAACATATAACAGCTGTTGGAATAGCTTAGGAGAACTTTTGCTTATAAAATGAGACTATTCAATGGAAAATCTATTCAAGCGGGAAATATCAATCATATTTAAGGGAATTTCCCCAGGTGTATTTGTGAAATTAGTTAAAAGTGAGTTACTCATTAAAATATGAGACAGGTTTATAGAATCATAAGTGCATTCCCATGAAAGAAACCCCCGAGACAGCTTATATAGGTCATAGAACCATTCCGATGTATCACAATATAAGCTCTCTGGAGATTGTGCTTTCGAAAGCATTGGATTAGTTAGAATGTCTGCGCCATGGAGAATTGGCAGGACAATGCATAATTAATTAACTTTTGAAGTGAATATCCGCTGCTTATTATGTCACATTAGCGAGATGATTGGATTGCATCAATTCTTTCACATAATTCTGGTCATTTCACACGCACTCCTAATTGCACGTTGAGCTCATTGGTGTATCGGATTGTCTAAATTGCTGCCAATTCGTGCTAAATTGCCCGCCTTTTTGCTACAATTGAGACATTTACGAAGTGACCAATGAGTCTGAAATTGGGCAAAAAACCGCTCGGCACGATGTCGAAATCAATTAGCACACAGTTACATTCAGTTATCCTCATGTTGCGAGTGCAATAATCTCTCGTGTTATGAGGAAACAATAATGCCACCCACGCCCAAGGAATGTGTTCACGTGTAATTTGAATTGAATACCGCACTGCGGGTCATGAAGTCCACAAGAGAGTGAGAAGAGGTTCACCTTCCTCCAATTACATCGGCAAATCGTCACTTGGCGGATATCAGCAACACCCAAGATTGTGGAGAGGGGTTCTCCACTCCTAGTTCTTGTGTGTGGCGTGAGGAGAGGAACCTTGGGTGACGCTCACCTTGACTTTACCTATTTTTCTTTTCCCACCTGGCGCTCGTATGCGCGATGTGGAGCTGTTTGCACCTCCAGGCGCTGAATTATTACCAATCGCTTACACTTCCCGCTTCTGGCGGTGCCGCAAAAACCATCGCTGACGAAGCAGGGTGTGAAACCCGGAGGAGGAAGTCAAAGACATTCTCTTCATACACGCATCCTCTTTATTTTGTCTCTATACACGTGATGCTCGTGAGGCATAGGCTCATACACACAGTCCTCTTCTACAGTGTTCGGTATCATAAAGTACACGAGTATATCAATATTGCTTCCGTCACAACTGCGCGCGAACTCATATCACAAGGTTTATCTCGTTGGAGCCGGCTGTTTGGGGGTGATAGAAGAGGAGGAGAGAGTTGTGGGATGATAGAGGGTGAAGATTGGAAGAAAAGAAGGTGTTAATGAGGCACATAAATTAGGGGAGAGATAGATTGGGAGGTGGGAAGAGAGGGAAATCTAGACCTTGTTGAAGGAGTAGCTGTAGCCGTCGGGGGTGCGGTTGAGGGAGAGCTTGCCGGGTGGCTGGAAGCGGTGTGGTGGCGGGGTGGTGTGGTAGTGGGTGGGCTGCTGGGGCAGGTTCTGGTGGAACTGGTGCGCGTGCTGGATCTGCTGCTGCACGCTTGGGGGGTGGGTGGGCAGTGGGGGGTGGGTTGGGGCCGCGGCGGCGTGGTGGTGGTGGTGGACTGGAGCTGGGGCCGGGGCCTGATGGTAGGCGGCGTTCTGGCCGAAGCCTGGGTCGTTGTAACGAGGATCGTAGGATCCGTCATCGTAGTCGTCGCTGCGCGCGGAGTGGTACTGTGGCTGGGGCTGCGCGTAAGAGGGCTGGTACTGTGGCTGGGGCTGGTAGTGAGGCTGTGGGGCGTGCTGTTGCGGGGCAGCTGGAGCCACGGGCAAGTGATCACCACTTGCACGGAATCTGGGAAAAGTCAGCGCGCGGGTTACAAATTGAGCAATATCAAAATTGATTTCATATAACGCGATACAATGAGAGATCAAGTGAGGCAAACAATTCATTTGACTATCTGATCTCTCCTACTCTCTCGGCGCACAATGTATGGGATTGGGTGTTACATAAATACTGTAATATGCATGCTCCGCACATGAGGTCTGACTAGTGGACCTCATGGCGAAGGCAACAAAGAATTTTATATTAATGACTTCACACATGAATGCGCTTTTCTACTCCACTTTTGCAAAATGCAACTCCCAAAGTGGTAAGTACATTTGTCTGCCTTCCATTTCGCAATCCCATCACTTATTACGTCAATAATCGTGGGGAGAGACGTGTATCGTGAAATTCAAACGAGTGGAGAAAGATTGTGGGAAAAAAGAAATGCATGCGCGCGGGAAATTGCAACTCACCCATCTTTTCCCGCGGTGTAGGAAATAGTTCTCTTCTGGCCAGTGGGGTCAATGTAACTGTAGGAACCGTGGCGGTTGCCGTCAGCGTCGGTCTCTTCCTTGAAGTCAATGCCGTCCTCTTGTGTGTAGGCAGCGCCGAACTTCCCGTCGCCGGACAAGTATCTCTGTTCGCTGATGATGGCGGCGGTCTGCGGATTGTTGTGGTATCCATGTCCGTGCTGGGCGGACGCCACGAGGGCCAGTGCAAAGAAAATCGCCTGCGGGGGAGAAGACGGTCAGCAACAGGGTCTAGTGGAAAATTCAAAGCGAGCAAAGCCGGACACTCACAAACTTCAACATGGTAATAAACTGCTTTTCAGCCTTTTTCCCACTTTTTCTACAATTTCCGCGTTCAGCCACTGTTCGATCACTAACCGATGGCAAGAGAGAACTGATACACTCTAGAGCCTCCCGCTTCACTTTTATATGAGTGCAGGAAACCTTGATGGGCCCCCATTCAATTCCACTCCAAGAGCGGTGGTCTGTGAGTACGTCATCGCAGTCACTCGACGCGGCGTTACAGTAATTGTACCATTCCTCTGAAATCCATATTCTGCAAGAGAGAAGTGAGGCAAGAAAGAGTGGAGGAGGATGATTAGCCACCGAATTCGCACAGCTTCATCTTGTGGAATGTCACTCGAGAATGTGCGCAAAATTTATTCCAAAACTGATTTAAATTGCCACAGCAGACAATTGTCGTAAAAATTGAAATTGCCCCATATAAAGCGTCGATATTTACGGCGTCATCTCGTGGCATTATGCATAACGTCTGAAAGTCATTTCTCTAAAAAAAAAACGAAAAGGAAAGACCGAAGAAGGTAGAAAAAAATGTCTGTGAAAATAACTTATTCAACAATTTTCATTTTTGGAGCATGTCCAATTTAATAACTCACACGTTCTTGCATTTTGAAGCAGTGGAAAAAATTTCTTATGCATTCTTTGTAATGGAGTGTCTATTCGGAAAAAGGGGGCGATTAGATAATAGATTTTATAGGTAATTTCTCTTTCAAATTCTCTGCTAAAAACATGCGCCATTTCAATTGAAAAACAGAATACCAAATTTCTTTTCCACGATTCTCCGCCAAATGCCAATGCGTATGATTTCCACACATGTAGCAAAAAAAAATATAAACTTCACTTCCGATTTTGAATAAATAATACCCACTTTTTTTTCTTTCACTCGCACCAACCGTCTTTTCGCATGTAATTAAAGTACTTTTCATGGTGTTCCAGTTACAAGAAATGAACTTCTTGCGTATATGTCTCTTGGTTCCGATTTAACACATAAGACACACACTTCCTGCAATTCGAATTGCCGTCTGAGCGTTTTTCTTTCTTCCATCCATCGTCAAGGTGGTCAAGTAGTTTTGTTGGAGTTTGTCTCCAACAATTTGGCTGCGGTGAATAATGCAGAATTTTACAATGACTGATGACCAATCGAAGCCATTAATCATCACCTGTCCATCATGTAAGGGATTTTCCACAAAATTCATGCTTTCACTGTTAAATAAACAAACACTTCACCATCAAATTATTTTGTGATGATTTAATTTAGCAATTTAAAATAATGCGGCAAAATTTGGTGATTTCAGTACGTGCGATAGTTATTTCAAAAATTATTCATTGTATGATTGTTGAATAGGCCTTGAAAAATGCTAACATTCTTCTTTGAACATTAACAGTTTGTAAAACCACCAGCAGAGGCGCTTCAGTTAAATATTCACTTTCGAGTCTCTCACATTCCAAATTGACCGTAAAAGCTCAATTGCTCGCGAGATCAACAATGTGGAAAGCTTATTCGCATTTTCCACCTAAATTGGTGGAAGAAGTGCTTTGTCACTGTTTCAGTGTGGGTACATTTGCACGGCTATTACCAAATTCCGTTTCACTATCTTTGTGGCATTTGCATTAAAGCAAAAGAGAGTGAAAAGAAATGTTTTTTTCCTGGCTCATAAAAATATTTGGGCTAAAAACACTGGAAGCCCGGTTACGTGAGGAGATCTATTTAGTGAATATATGGTGTGTTTTAAATACAACAATCATTACCAATGTCCAATTTGCGCTCGCTATATGTAAAACTTGTTTCATTTTTTTTTTAGATCAATTATAGTGAAATAATTTTGAGAAAAACTTCCATCGACGGATTAATATTCAATTAGTGCGGATAACATGTCTGGCATATGCGTAACACTTCACGGTTCAAGATCGTAAAATTACCATTCAAATTAAGTGTCGCGCGCTGGGAAGGAAGAAGTATATTTTCCCATCACAATTATGCGTTAATTCACTTTCATAACCATGCGCGTGATGATCAATTTCTTCGCCAATCCGTCACCACGGCTCTTCACGTTTCTACAAGTTTGTATCTCTGAATGCCGGCAGGTCAATATCAAGGTTTGCACTTTCAAAACTACATTCCCATTTTGGTATATTGTGAGTTTTGGTGTTCTATCTCGCTGGTTTTTTTTTCACTCTCGCATTCGTCCGCATTTCAAATGAACCCAGGAATTTCTCACAGCGAAAAGAGATTTCCATTGGCGTGACCAATTTGGGAGATTTGCGCTTTAAAATTGAGCGAATTCCAATTGCTCTCAAGTACATCTCTTCACACTTCAATGGAGATCAATTGAAGGGATATATTTTTCTGTACATAATTTGGAAGGATCAGAAATGTAATTTATTTATTCAGGTGCTGCAAAAGTCTATTCGTCACATCAGTCAACGCACACAGTTGGATGGCTATTATATCCATGGGCTGAAGAGGGAAAAAGTGCAAGGAAAATAGCCTGTAAATAGTTTTTTCTCGAGGTCCTCCTCAAATGCAGTAGGGCTAAACCCACTGGAGCATATTGTCTTTTCTATCTGATAATAGTCTCTGGGCAATTCCCCTTATTTTCATTGTGGATAATGCCCGATCTTCTCTCTCATCTCTCAGCATTGCTCTCCTCTATGGATTGCATTATGTATAGAATATTGCGCGCACAGCATTTAGAGGGGATATAATGCCGAGATAAGTGTTAGACTTCAGGTAACTTTTTGCCCATTAGTTCATTATGCAAGATTTATCCCTCCCCTTCATTCGTCTGCCTTTTGTGTGCGATCCTCCATTAGAGATCTGATGATGGCAAATGTGGAAAATCGAAGAGATGTCCAATTTTCCAGCTGTACCGTGACTATGAACGCACACATTCTCACATGGAGATTATCTCTAGTGCACAGGGTGGAATTATGGCAAAAATGCGAACTAACCAAAAAGTCTTCTCTGACGACACGTCGAAACTCGCTCGAATGTCCTCTGGAAAAGGTAAACGCACAATGAGCAATAGCAGGGCAAAAGAGGGATGAGTGAATGTGAGTGGAAATATGCCAAAGGTATGACTCGAAAAATATCCTCCTCGATTATTCCATTACTTTTTTCTTGCGCTCATCCACACACATTTCGACAGAATGTAGTTCAAAAAGGCATAAAATCAGTTTGAAATCCTCAATCTCGACGCAGTGCAATGGAGAGAGCAGGTAATATAGTAATTATTCAATTCCCAAAATATTGCCATATAAATAAAATCATATGCATGAATTTCCACTGAATCATTGAGATGATGAAAAGTCGAATAGTCTGCATAGAGTGATTTGAATAAAATTCTTCTCCAGTCAGCATAATGGTAAGTCTACTAGCTTTTCATGCAGTCTCACAACTTCATTTGCGGTGATTTTTTGTCGAATGAAAATCCCTCCATTATTTACTATGTACAACGCGGAGCAAATTATATAGTTTGAAAAGGGATGAGTTAAGCTTTGATTTCGAACACCCCAATTTGATTTTCATTCAAATTCACAAATGCATAAACGAAAAGTGAGCGCTTTTGTGACATTAAATATCAAATCAAACAGAGTAACACAATTTCAATAAAATCATTAGGCAAATGCATTTCTCTGAATTTTGGGCGGCATGTTCACAAGTGAGGATTTTCCATAATTACGAGGAGTTATTGCTTTTATCTTTTTCTGCCACCTTCTGTTGTTTAATCTGAAAAAGAATACTTTTACATGGCACAAAGATTGTGAAGAAAGAGTGAAAAAAGATGAATATGAGAAGTTTTGCAGTGTGGAATTTACAAAAAAACATAGACTTCTCTCCTTTTCGGCACTTTCTTAGCCAGTCGAGGGATTAGATATGACGGTGTTTTTCACCCTCAGAAAGCAGCTACTTAGAAAAGTTATTAGGACAGAGACACAAAACTTGTGCAAGGATTAGTGAAGTCTCAAAGTCCTCAAAGACGGATGAGAAGTAATTTTGTTGCAACTAGAGTAAATTAATTAACTTATGTTTGCAGAAATGTTAACATGAAGTTATGAAATTTATAAAAAGAATTTCATTCGTAATAAATAAAGTGTGAAATATTTGTTTTCATTTTCAAGTTCAATGATAATGTTCATTGATTAATCTTTTCTCTTTACGCATCTTCTACACATTACAACACCTCACGAAGTTGAGTGTGCAAAATGCTTGTCTGCGTTAGCATTGAATCCGTCTCTATAGCGATGAAGTAAGTGCACTTATAATCATAGAATGCTTGTCCTTATGTCTTAATTGAGCAAAAAACCAGGTCGGAAGTCACAAGGACCCGAGGCTGGGCTTTCTTTCTGCAGATGAATGGCAAGATTCGCCCCAATTACAATCGCCTGAGTGAACATTGTGGGAATCTTCTGCTCGCGCCGTGGCTTAAATTGATCGTTTCACCAGAAAACTCCACGCAAAGTCTGTGGCTTTGAACATGAATGTTCCGCCAACCCTTCGATATGTTCACCGCGACATTTAGATTGAAATCACTCGCCGCCTTCCGACCGACCATATGCAAGTGTGGTGCTAATCCACTAAATGTGCCGAGAGAACAAGCAGGAATTTTCGAGCTTTGTGACGCAATAAAATCTGAAGTGCCCACTTCTGAGTGTATTTGAGAGTGTTGCAACTCAATTGTCCCTTTACGGGTTGCGATGGGGTGCCAAATGGGATATTTTCAGCGAAATGTTTGCCCGACAGATTAATTTGAGGATGTTTGAGAGTAGTTTATGTCATTTTGTGTCGGAAATGTGTGACACGCCTCGAGGATATTGTCATTTCAAGAACACTGCTTTTGCTATGAATTCAATTAAACTGCGGATGCGATTTAAATTTCCGTATCGGCTTTGGAATCGCGCACAAAAAAAATTAAACTCTGAATTTATGTAAGCTCTCCAATATCAAACAACTTTTAGCTTATGTGCAAATAGAGCTTGAGAGAGTGAGTGTGTGCGTGTGATTCGCACAGATCATTCAATTTCCCCGAGGGTTGATTACTGCCATTATACGCGTAACACAAACATGGGCTGAGGATGTTAAGACAATGAGTGACTCCTTCACGTGACCCTTGAAAATGTTGCAAGTTCAGCCAAAGAATGGCCACTCAAATGTTGCCAACCGAGACCATCGAAATGTGTTACACTTTCAATTGACGCTGGATTGCCACTCTAGATTATTTGCAACTTTATGCGCGACGGCTGCAAAATTCAGCATAAAACCGAAGGGTTGGGAATTTTGATACATTTTAATGCCAATCGATAAAATCCTGATCCCACGAAGTGATGAGAAAAATTCCTTATTGGCTCTCGAGAGCCACTTACAATCGCATTCAATTTTCTCTCATGGTTTTCTTGAACTCAGTGCCATCCTGAGTGGCTCCTGAATTGCAGGGAAAACTTTTCAATTATATGAATCGACCTCCTGCTGTCTCAAAGGTGAGAAAACATGACACACTCGAAATGTCCCATTCACACTTTCCCAGTTGTTTCACTGCGAACTCTTCATTGATTACACTAGGCAACAAAAATGACACTTTTTTCTGCCCTTTTTTTGAGGTGTGGATTTTCTGATTCCTTGAGTCATCAGCTTTTCAACGGTACCTTCCTTTTTTCTCTAGACCCTCAAGTTTTCCTTTTAGAGCCTATTTTCCATTTTCCACTATTTTCACCCACTTTGCCGCACTTATGTGCTCATATCTCGCCCAATTTTCCACGGATTTTCCTCAAATTAGGCTCAAATGATAGCTATTGAAATTACCTACTACTTTGTAGAACATTATGAGTATTTTAGATCACTCCTTGTTGGTCAAAAATGATCTTTTGTGAACCACTAGGTAAAAAATTCACCGGGTTTTTTATTACTTTTTTCTAAATATCTCCGAAACGAAGAAACTTTTATGTTGGATTATTTTTCCTATGTGTAGAGCACTTCAGGGGATGCATTTCCTCCATACATGCCGAAGTGATATCTCTTCTCTATCTGCCGGAAAAACGAGGTTTTCCCTCGACAAGTTTTGCTTTTTTATGCTACGCGCACCCGCTAAAAAACGGAAAGAAGGTACATTTTGCTGTCTACGCATTCATTTAGATAATGATAATGCTTAGATGTTAAAATAAAAGAGAAAAAAGGCCAATATCTCGACTTTTTAGCTATTTTACGTGAATTTTTTGTGTTTTTTATGGAGTTGTTGTCATTAAGACCAAAAAAATACCTAAAATAGCTAAAAAGTCGAGATATTGGCCTTTTTTCTCTTTTGTTTTAACATCTAAGCATTATCATCATCTAAATGAGTGCGTAGACAGCAAAATGTACCTTCTTTCAATTTTTTAGCGGGTGCGCGTAGCATAAAAAAGCAAAACTTGTCGAGGGAAAACCTCGTTTTTCCGGCAGATAGAGAAGAGATATCACTTCGGCATGTATGGAGGAAATGCATCCCCTGAAGTGCTCTACACATAGGAAAAATAATCCAACATAAAAGTTTCTTCGTTTCGGAGATATTTAGAAAAAAGTGGTAAAAAACCCGGTGAATTTTTTACCTAGTGGTTCACAAAAGATCATTTTTGACCAACAAGGAGTGATCTAAAATACTCACAATGTTCTACAAAGTAGTAGGTAATTTCAATAGCTATCATTTGAGCCTAATTTGAGGAAAATCCGTGGAAAATTGGGCGAGATATGAGCACATAAGTGCGGCAAAGTGGGTGAAAATAGTGGAAAATGGAAAATAGGCTCTAAAAGGAAAACTTGAGGGTCTAGAGAAAAAAGGAAGGTACCGTTGAAAAGCTGATGACTCAAGGAATCAGAAAATCCACACCTCAAAAAAAGGGCAGAAAAGTGTTGCACAGTGTTATTGGAGTGTCTCACGAAGAGCAATTCAAACTGTGGTCTCAATATTTATCTCAACCTTCTTAAGACCCGCATGAGATATTTTCTTCAAAAATTGTCTGGAACGATTGTGAGAAAAGCCGAAGAGTGATTGAAATCAAGTTTCTATCAATTCAATACATAAAATCATCGCCTTCACGACATTCCTTCTGGCATTTGATGTTGAGTGACAAATCCGAAATTAATAAAGTATTTCTGACTCAATAACTTTACAACCGATATAAAGGAAGGACTTTATTATTCTCCCATTTCTCCCTTCGTCGCTTGTCAACAGTTTCATGCGTGTTGCGGTGATGATGAGAAATCCTCATCGTATATACTGCAATTTGTCAGTTGGCTATTGAGTACAACAATGCTAAATAGCCGAAATGATGAGGATTATTTATACACAAAGAGAAGAGAAAAAGTATTCGCAACTACAAAAATGTACCGCACCTGGAACAAGACACCGCCATGCCAGAGACTTTACCTGGTTCACCAGACCAGTCCCTTTCACAGCGGATCAATGCGGATGGTGCGGATAGAGAAAAGGCATCCAGGAATCACATAGTCAATTCAGAGGCGAATTTGGGACATTTCATCTCTTCTGCGAGCACATTTCTTCCGTGGCGAGATGATGTTTCTCAAAGTCTCTCTTCCAGTTCGTCCCTTGTCGAGGCCAAAACAAGCCACTGGGCTTGAATGTAATTCGGCAGAGGTTTTTTCCTCCCTGGAAGGATTATCAAAAATGGCGGACTATTAAGCCGGAGTTTGAAATTCAAAAGATCCGATCTTTCAATGCAATGGTTTTGTGATATAATTTAGAGTTGTTGTGCATTAATGATCTTGATGATTTGTCCTCATTAGAAGGACTTTCGGGCAGTTTGTGGGAAAGAATCTCCAGCAATTGGGGAATTCGAAATGCCATAGTTAATAATAAAATATATTTTATTTGCATTTACTTTTACAAAGTGTCCAAATAAGCTCGAAATATATGTAAACTGTAATTTCCAATAACACTAATTCATTGTCATTTGCGCTAATTTAAACTGATAGCATTGATCATTTATTTTAAGGCATTCTGAATTCTCTAACATAATGTGGACTTATCACAGGATTGCTACCGAGGCAAGGGTGGAGAATTTTCGTATTGTTTTGTCATCCGCTCTCTGTAAATGTTGCGTGTGAGTTTGCCGATCGAGACATAACCGATGTTCTGTCTGAAGAAAATCTCCTCTATTGTGTAATCCGACACTAATGCGAAATCGGGCAGAATCAGTAGCAATTCCTTGCACCTCTGTACTTGGATGGGATACACGGTGTTGACGTAGTCCCTCAGTTTGGCCTTTGCGTCCTCGTGCAGACTCCGCACGCGCTCGGACTCCTGGAGCTGGCGATTGCCACCGTCGTCAGTGGTGCTGGAGGAGTCCGAGTCTGCGTCGGAGTTCGCCTTGAAGAGGACAATTGCACGCAGGAAGTAAAACTCGTTATCGTCGATTCGCAGCTGACTGATGCGGTGGAGAATCTTCTGGAAGTTGTCGACTTCTTGGCGGAAACTTGCCGTCGGCCCGCGATTCTCGCGACTATTGGTCTCGATCTCGTACGCGAGGAGGAGTTGGGAGAAGTTGATCGGCATGAGATGCTGTGCCATGGCGAGAATGAAGAGCTCGCGCCAGGTTTCCTCGAGTAGGAAGAATTGGTCAGACACCGAGAGATCGACGAACACGCGGAGACTCAGCAACCACTCGACGTTGCGAAAGAGCAGATTGGCGGCAGATTCGCGCATCGCCTCGGCGGCCTCGCGGATCGTCCCGGCCGCCATCAGTGGCGGCGTGGGCGGAAGCACCCGCGGAGTCATAAGAGGCATGAAGTTGCTGGTGGCTGAGAGGAGCGACGAACGCGGCACTGAGAGATCGAGAACGATGGGTGCCGGCGGCGGCGCCAGGGAAAGCGGCATCGCCTGAGACATGATCAGATCGCGTCTCATCTGCAAATCCGTCATGATGGGATGTTCCCTGTTGATCAGCAGCGACATTTGTTTCCTCAGAGTAGAGTTGCGCGGCCCGCGCTCGTGCTGGACAGCGTCGCGATTCATGCCCGCTTGGAAGCATCTCCTCAAGCGACACGCTCTGCACTGATTCCTGTGCGTCTTGTCCACCACGCACTGGCCCTCGGAGCGGGACTTGCAGGCGTAGTCCCTGCTCTTGCGGATGGACCTTTTAAAGAATCCCGCGCAGCCGTCGCACGCGAAAATGCCATAGTGCTTTCCAGAGCTGTGATCTCGACATACCTTACACGGTGTGTCGTACAGAATCCGACCTGGAAGTCAATTAAGAAATGCTGTGTGAGATGCCATTCACCGAAAAAGTCTCTTATTTCACATTATTCTCAAGGAGGCAAAAGAGCAGCTTTACTTTATAAGAGGGAGTGATTCTTTCTGGGATCACAAAGCACCGGAAATGTTTGTACTTCTTTCACTTATATTTATTATTTTTTTCTCATTTTGCTTATTTTTCATGAGTCAATGTCAGGATTTTCTTGTTCAATTCAATTTCATGTGGCTGTGAAATTGAGAAAACGTGTTCTCAAGTCTTCATTCACAAAAATTGCCACTCTTTCGAGGAACACCGATAATCTCAGGTAGCAGTCGAGAAGAAATTTGGGTATTGTTGGAAAACTATTATAGTTATGGTTTTTCGACCTGAATATTCACTCATTTGCATGCTGTGAATTATTAAAATTTATTACTTAAACCATGTGATAATAGTTTTAGGGACAAAAGACCCCCCTTTGGCCTTGTTTGCTACAACTGAAGATTGTAGTTGTTTGCCAAATTCACCGAGAAATTGCTCAATAACCATAGTTTTCATTCACAACATGTTATCACTTCACAGGTCGCACAGCAGGAGAAAATAAATGTTTTTCAGAATAGTTTGGGATAGTTCCTTACTTGATGATGGTTGTATTCGCAAATGATTGAACCGATGATCCATAATTTCTGGTGATCTGCTCGGAGATTGCATTTTGCTCAAGATTTTTCTTATAATTTCTCAAGCTTCCCGGCTGATATAAGAACAGTTCTACACTATTTGATTCACAGGCAATGCGTGCAATTGATTCATTCAATTAAACAATTTCACTCTTTACTTTCGCCTCGGCAAGACTTGCAATTAATTCACAAAGTCCTGTCTTTCACTTTTGCTCTTTGACGTTTTGACTAAACAACGTTTGATGTATGAATGAAGAGTTGGAAGTTGAGTCTAGCAAGCATCAAGGATCGGAAACGGCTTGGCCATTTACTGCTCGATCCCTTCTATGTTCAGAGGCAAAAAGTGTTTTGTGTAAAACTCTCCTGCCCTCCGATGATTGGTGCACGACAGGGACCCTCTATGAACGATGGTAAGGGAGGAGCTTAGCTCTTTTTCCATGCTCTCTTCTTCATTATGTGGTATTTTTGCTCAACAAGCCAGAAAGGCATGTGAATGTTTTCCAAAGAGACACCCCAATTTCAAGCAATGAAGGGAAGAAAATGCTGATTCCCATTTCCAGCTGATAAGCCAATACCTTTTAATTGTTATGTATAATGTTGAGATATGAGGAAATTGTATATAATTTTCATGCATACTTTGCTCTCCTTTCATCCCTTATGGATTTTTGATATGGAAATTCCTTGTGTTCATTGAGAATGTCGTGAAGCACCACTTTATGAATCAAATTAAATATGTATTATGCACCCCATCTCTTGAGAGATGTGATATTAAAAAATTATGGAATTTGTGGGATTGAGAGCTGACGAGATGAACTTTTTCATTTAATCCGTACAAATCTGAATGCCTTTCCAAGAGTGAAAAACAGCATTGATCATTGTGAAATTTCCCACGATATCGAAGGTAAGAACATCTGCTGGTGAATCATTTGCATTGGGAATCATCACACCTACTCTCAATTTCTGCCCACCCCTCAATATGTTGTTCAACATGCACTAATGGTAATATTAGGGTTATCAATGCGGTGCACTTGTTCTGAATATGTTCTCATCAGATGAAACTGAGATGATGATTAAACACACAACAGATGGTGTAGTTTTCGGGCGACATGCCCTGAAAAACACTCATGTGATGGTCATTCTGAGGGGGATGACAGATTCACCCTGATAAATTTATTGATTGCGTGACACGATCGATGGTTTGCGAAGGGATGTGCATGGGAATTTTCAGTCGGCATGCAAATGCAAACATTTTCCCTCGCCGGTTTCTGCTGGCACCAGAAATGTGGGGAAATTTGGCAATTTGTGCACCCATAAAAATATACATGATTTTTCAGAGATCTCCCAAAATGAATCCCTGAAGTTATTAAGCCTTCGAATACTCATCCTAAAAGGGCTGTAAAAAGATACGCCAAATGGGCTTTCTGGCATCTTCTTGTGCAGTTTTCAACGTTATGAAGGAAGTCTAAAATTGCCTAGACATTGCTGGACAAAAGGAGGAATTATACCCTCAAATTATACTTCATCGCCCATAGAAACCTTTAAAGTATTAGGGCATTTTACAACACTTGGGAAATTCCCGGGGCTAACGACAGTTTGGGAAAAACCCACATGTGCGCTCTCAGTGTGCCCAGAGTTGATCTTGGTAATGAAATCAATGAATTCTGAAGTGGTGGCAAGAATACAACCCCCACAGCGCATCCAAATGAAACACAAACAACTCACCGGAGAGTTGAGAATTCCTCTGCAGATTACTTTGTTAAGGCTACTTTAATGCACTTTAAGTACACCAAATTATTTACATAAATAAAGAGAAAAGAGTTGAACCTCCGTTTTTGGCTTTCTAGAGAAAACATGAGGATTATCACCTATGTAAGAGATCCTCGTGACTTTTCAACAATGCACACTCTCCTTCAGGGACCTTTGGTACACGTTCGCACACGAAGATGTGATTGAATTCAGCATCACAATGACCCAAAAGCACGAATGTTATCTAGATTTTCTGTCGTGTGAAATTGTCTCCTTTGAGATTACGCTTTTGCGTGAGATTTCCAATGAAGGCCTTTTTTCACAACAGGTTTCAATATATCCATTTGAGTCAGTCTCCCTAATGCAATACCATGAATACACCTCGATAACGTCTCAAATTTCGCGAGCAGCTCAGTGAAAGGACTTTTGGAGGTGTGGTTGCTTTTCCAGCTCACGAAATTACATTCAGTATGAATGTTCTTTTCGAGATATCCTTCCCATCCCGTCAGGAGTCTCGTGTTACACCGTGTTTATTGTCCCTCTGCAACTAATGTATGTATACACCGTACGAAGTCCTTCCTTTGCCTTTTCGTCAATTGCATAATGAAATATACTTGGTGTTGAGGAGGCAAAAAATGAAAAGGCGTTCTCTCCAGCCAAAAGAGCGCGGAGAAGTAAGCAAAGTGGGTTGTTCACTTTATTTGATGGAGAGACAAATAAAGCATTTCCTGAATGGGGTTTTCTCATTTAATTCTATCTCGCAGAATGTCAGAGAATGCTCGAATGAAGATTCAACTCTGTGAATCAATTCAAATCAAATCTTTTCACCGCCATTACGATAGACAAGGAGTTTTGTGGAGAGGGATATAATCACTCGTGCAGTGGAAGAACAAAGCGACAAATACGAACCACCTGATGATTCCATAGATTTCACAGCGACATGGGAATCTATTCATGACGCAAAAGAAGGCGTGCTTCACAACAAAAGGGACCCAGCTTCCTTTCTTGTCCTCCAGAGTGGATGAGGGACTTTTCAAGATCACCGCGACTCCTACATCACTGTGTTATCTTCGCCCAGTGAATGGATTTTAGATGATATCAAGTGACGCGACGTGGGAAGTTTTCCAATGAGGGAGACTCCAATTTCACAATTTAGCGTCTACAATCACATCCTTTTGTCATACTTTGCCATGATTTATTTGCATAACGAGAGGGTAAAAAGAAGCCCCCAGAAACAATTAATGTGTCACAAAATAGCAGTCACTTATTCAATGAGGAGTGAAGGGCTAATGGCATTCTATTTCAATGAAGTATAGCTGTAATCAAGGATAAAATTACGCTTAAGTGTTTTGCAATCAAAGGGCGATTTCGCAGGACACAATTCACGAGTGTTTGAACACAAAGCCAGCTATAGCAAATTCCATATTCCTAATGTTGATGGAAAAAGATATTTTATTATAAGAGACTTTAAGTTCAAGGCCTAGTAAGCTGAGCTTTAAGTTTCATGGAGTTCTCAATAGAGAATTGACTTACTTTATAATAATTAGTCTGCAGTGTGAGACGCAAACTCAGGTTGGGTTAAAGCTTTACAGAAAGCACAGGGAAAGTTAGCTGAATAGTTAATTAACTTACACACAATTATTCTAAATGATTTTCAAATAATCTTTTATTATGTGATGCCAACAACGAGTTTAATGTTCTTTGTCAACAACCACGCTGTTTGAATCTGCGTTTTCCTATCAATGTACAGATGGCTTGAGTTCATCGATGAATGAAAACTCCCTAAACTGCAGCATTTTAGGCGAAAAATCCACTCTTTCTCATGTCTTTTCTTTCATTCAACATCGCGGCATTTCGTCATTGGAACACCCAATCCAATTGCACAAATGCAATGGTCGCTGTAGAATGGATCGCAGTTCTTTATTCCTCCGACTTGTGATAATTTATTGATATGTTCGAGCGCTAAGTGTAAAACACCCAAGTTTGACCACTTCCTGGAGCTGTGCCTACGCGATATTCTATATTTACGCAATTCACCCAATATTCTTGCTTGACTTCATATTAACCAATATGCATCTACTTTTTCACCTCAAAATTGCATGTTTAACATTTATTTGTTTATCCACTTAACATGGACTTTGATGTGAGCAACTTTTCCGCAGGCCTTTTTTCCCAGACAAATTATTACACAGTTAAAGTTATGAGGGAAAGAGACGCATAAATATTCAAATTGGCTCAAATTAGTTGTCTGTCACCATTTGGATTTATTATTGAGAAATTTCATCTTGAATTTCATCGATGATCGTGAAAGAGATTGACAAAAGTGGAATGCAGAGCAGAAAATTGTCTTTCCTTCCGTTTAAAGTCCCATTAATTTCAACGGTTTTTTCGATCTGCTTCCGCTTGTTGGCTGATAAGACGTGTTTTTGGTTGTGCGGTGTGATTAATTTAAAAGCATTTCAGATGAAAATTGATCAACATCGCCCAATTGACCGCTAGACAACACACGGGATTTGCATAATGAATTAAAAGAGTGTTGTTGCCAATAAACGTGTCTACACAAGCTCGCCAGAGCGACCATAAAAAGAGATTATCCGACGCATTTGTGCCGCCGTTCTTACTCGAGGTGTTTGATGGTAAAGGAGTTTTCTTAATGAAATTGAATTAAATGTCATTATTGTGGATTTAGCAATTATCAGGACGTCGAGGATGTTGAAAATGTCACCTCGCGCACGGCTGCCAAGTCTTCTGTGACAATCACTGCAATTTAATTGCACTTAATTCCATAATGTCGCCGGCACTTTTGTCTAATTGCCCTTTGCCAATTATCTTAACGCCGTTAATGAAATCATTTAGTGATTTTAAGAGGTACTTTGAGGAATGCTAAGGTGTCGCGTCGGAGGATAATTGTTTGCAGTGTGGTGACAATGATTGAGCTAATATTTTGCTTCGTGGCGAATTTGTACGATTGCAGTGGAACAATATAATAAATTACTGAGAATCCCTCCTTGTACAAGCTTAGCATATGTAGATTTATTGCACATTCTTAGCTGTTAAGCCAATTGACACTGACAGATAGAAAAGAGTGTTTCCCACTAATATATTAATTGAACGCCAATTACTCGACGACCAGTTGAGGATTAACCTATCCTGTGCCATGGCGGCGAACATTGTGCATTGAAGTGTAATTTTATTCGACACGCAATAACGCAGATAAAATATGTATAGTAAGAAATAAATCGGCAATAAAGTAGGATTGAAAATTGTTTTCTTAATACGGCACATTTTACAAGAATTCTTATTTTATTTACATAAACACAGATTTATAGTTAATTCACTGGATGTTGTTTGAATATTGAGTTCTCACACAAAGCCGCCATCAGACTTTTCACATTTCACATGCGCGGGAATGCACGCTCTTCGCTGTCTTTCCCTGCAAAACCTTCGCTTATCATTCGATACGCAATGTCCGCCTTGTGATTCCTGCAAATTAACTACAACGTCTTCAATTTACTCTGGCAGCGAATGTCCATAAAATGCCTCGGCATGGCGTATTGTCACAGCAGTTGAGATTAAATGTTTTAAAAATAATCGTAATCATTCCTCGGCAAGTTCATCAGGGAATTTACAATTGGCGCCAAGCAGCTTAATAAATACTTGCAACTTGCAAAATGAAGAATTGAAAAAAGGCTCCTGGTAAGAAAGTATCGTTTCTTTTTCATAAAGAGAAACCCGATTATTGTGCAAATTGTTCATGATAATTCGCACAATTCTGAGTTATTTTAATGCATAAATTATTGATGTGATTTCCATTGTGACTCTATAATTGCGATATTTACCGAATATCAAGTGATCTTTTCCTTAATGTACCTTTATCTTAAGGTCTTTATTACTATTTTCCTGACTCGATCCAGTAAGCAGCATTTTTAAAACTAATATTTCATTGGTTTTTAGTATTCTTAAAGGTTCTTGACATACAAGTAGGATCATTTTGTAAAAAAGAAGTTTTGAAAGATATTTATAGTACAATTTAAAATTTATCAATACAGTTTAAGACTCCATCCAAGTAAGAGTGTAAATTTTCACGGTTATATTTTGATCTTTTCTATCGTCTAAAAAAGATTGTTTCATAAACTATGAAATTCTAACTTAAATAATGCTGAAGAAGATTTTGAAAATCTAAAACATTGAGGGTGAAAAATTCCATTCCATGATTTTATCATGTAAAAAGCTAAACAAATGTCGCAAAAATTCCGTTCTGCCTCGTTAGTCCACGAGCATTTCGAGAGACCTTCGCATTTTTCATGTTCCAATTAGCAAAATGATATTGAAATTAATCGCATTGTATGTTTTCGTACTTACTTTTATTTGCTTCAGGATGCACAATTATTGAGATTCTGGTGTTGCATATTTAAATTGTAAATTTGTAGACAATCAAAAAGGGTCAGAGCTCACCAAAATATTGCCTTTTGAATGCTCTTTTATAGCGCAGACTAAGAAATTCGACCTAGAAGTCGACCTTCCGCTTGCGTTATAATTTCACAATTAAAAGTGTGGCTTATGTATTTTCGCTCAAGCAATAGTGATTTCAATTGTCTTTACGTGAAAGATAAGGCGGATACGTGGCAATAAAAGCAGCTCAAGCGGTGGGTTAGTTTGCGATTTAATCAATTTGATAAATGAATTCTCTTGAGCACCAACTCACCTGACACAGAAAGTGAATTACCGCATAGATGCATGCATATCGAACAATTGAGAAAAGCAGCAACAAAAGACTTCAATGTATAAATTTATTATCTGAGTATATCCTATTATCACACAATTTATCAAATAACATGATTTACTAATTTTAAATTAAGGAGGAAAAATTACAATATTCTATCTAAGCTTGACTTATCAATAAGAGAATTTCATTCTTTATTTTCACTTTCAGGAAAATCGTCTAAACTATGGCATACATTCGTTCGTTTTATAGCAAAATCATATTTGTTTCCTAACTAGTTGACCTTCTTACTCTTTCCTAATACTTTCAAAGTTCAGAGGGACAAGAACTTGAGGAGAGCGTTGTAAATGAGACTCGGACTGATGGTGGAATCCGCGGTGTATCGCACGCCGCGCAGACTGCCATCATCGTGACTTACCACCCCGTATTCGCCCACGATGAACCCGTCGGCCGTCTTCTCCTCCACGCGATACTTTCGGAAGTTGCGTCCCTCCACCACGTAGCCCACCTTCTTGGCGTCTTCCGTGGGCGTCGCGGCACTGGGCGACTGGACGCCGTGGTGCCGACCGTTCGTCACCACGCTCACGGCCTCGTCCACCTCATAGTTCTGCTCGGGCGTCGGGCCTTCGTACGCCTCGAAGGCGCTGGTGGTGGACCTGGTCTCTGGCGTGGAGCTGGGGATGAAGTGCGTGGGTCGCGTGCTCTGCGGGCGGTTGAGCAGATCGTAGGGCAACTTGTCCAGGTTGAAGACAATCTTCCTGGACGGCGACGCGGACGTGTGCGCCGGCGATTGTGTGGTTGTGGGTGGTTCCGCATACACCTTAGCCGGTTTGCCATAGACCTTGGCGGGCTCTGAGTACACCTTCGCCGGTTCTGAGTAGATCTTAGCGGGTTCTGAATATATTTTCGCGGGCTCTGAGTACACCTTCGACGGCTGGCCGTAGATCTTGGCCGGTACAGAGTAGATCTTCGACGGCTCGCCGTAGATCTTCTCGGGCTGCGACCACAATTTCGACTCGCCGACAGATTGACCCACAGACGTGTAGGAAATGGAACGAGGCAGCGCCGTGCGCTCTTTCTTCTCGTCATTATCATGATAAATTATGGCTTGGTAGGGGACAACATCATCTTGCTTGCGCTGAGTCCTTGACCTCACCTGCTGCGACGGCTGTTGAGCCACTTGCGACACAACACCTGATTCAGGTGGTGCGACGAAACTGTGCACGTTCATTGACTCCTCTTTGGCCGAATCCGCAATCTCTTTGTTGGTCGTCAGCGGTTCATCCTCCTCGATGGAAAAATCACTGCCCGACCGGCGCGACGGTGTGACTTCCACAGGGAAATCCCTCTGCGGTGTCGATCGCTGGGCAACAGACGATGAGACACTCACGCCGAGCACTCGAACTCCCTTGTCGTCATCCGCGTCCTTGGCGTCCTCGGGCTCGAGAAAGACAATCTTGCTTCCAGTCTTAACGAGCTGCAGTTGCGATTTATTGGCGTCAACCGCCTCGGGAGCGGGTCTCAGCGTGGCTGTTGCCGTGAAGGTGTCCAGTTTGCGATTTGTACGTTTTTCCAACGGATAGTGATTGGTGCTCTCGGCCATCATCTCTTCAGTGGACAGGAACAGCTTCTCGATGGGCAGCATCGTGTCATCCTCCTCCAGTTGTCTCAAGTACTCCGCTCTGTCGAGCTCCTTTCTATCGCTGAACAGCGACAGAAAGTCCTGGCCGGAAATCAAGTCACTTTGAGCAGCGGGATGACCAATTGCTTCACTGACTGCGATCTGCAAAACACCCAAAAAAGCGCCACCCATTAGAATGTTTGCTACAATGTTGTGGGTTCTCAAATGATTTATATGAACCGTATAATTAATGACTTCGGGCTGGATATTATAAATAATTAATCAGTTCATTATAGCCGGTATTAAATTGTTTAATTGCATTCCAATGGGCTGAGCGTTGAGAGGCGGCAGTGATCAGAATTGTTATTGAAAATGTCTAGCGAAATATTTGGAGTATGGCATTTTTTTCTCTCTCTCGCAAAAGCACAAGCGTTTTTACATCTCTATAATTAGACAGATTGCTTTCAACATATTCAGCATAAGAAACTTGTTCACCGCAACCTATAAATACTGTCTCTTTTTTGTGTGATATGATTTGGTGAACTTGTTTCTCGCATTCTAGCATTTCCTGATTTATCACGCGAACTTGATAGACACCCAAGAAGAGACGCTGTTACAGTTGCTTAGGCACTTATCTAGCAAGTTAATCGGAATTCTGTTTTACCTCTGTCACGCATGACATCGCCATTAATCCTTTTTCTGCAAAGATCAAGTCGCTGGCGGTTTAGATAAATATATCTAGTTCAAATAATGGCACAGTTTTTCCCTCTCCGCGCGAGAATTAATCATTTCACAAAATACCTCATTGGCCATCAATTACAATTAGAATTTGGAAATGATTATTACATAATTTGGCTCTTTTCCCAAACTGTGACTATGGCAAACCGATTTTACACTGTCTGATTGGCAAGTTGTGCACACGCTGAATTGTAAGTGAATTTTATTGGTGAGAGAGCCTCATGAAAAGCCACATCAAGGCCGTTCAATGTCGTTTGCTCGCCCGTTGTTTCTGTTTCGTTGCAATTTCATCAGCGCCTGAGATGGGCAACACCACGTAATGAGGCATCCATTAACTTTTTCTCCACTTATTTTGGCATGATTCAATGGACTTTACCTGATTCCATTTTTTGTGCACAATCTCAACTTCACCTTGCAAATAATTTTAAAGAATATTATGCAGTGGGGAACTGAATACTTTGCGGTACTATTTAATTATATTGAATTTTTCTTGATGTGTTCTTGTGTACGAGGAAGATTTATTCATCCTTTTTTTCATTATTTACCTTTTTTTGTGTCCACACATTGTGGCTTTATGATCAAGATTTCCTTTCGATCATGTAACTTATACGTGATTCAGAGCATATTTAAATACTGGTCTCTCGTGTGATATTTAAGAGAAAAAAATTCCTGTCTCGTAATTCGATAAATGGATGAAGGGAATTTTTGAATTATATATTGACGTTGGTAAAACAGGTATTTTGCATCCAGTATTCTAGAGACGATAAGATAGGCAAGAATAGAAGCGCAATCTTTATGTATTGGCGAAAAAATAAAGACAATCATTATTGTCAATTACTAGTGCCATTAATTACTGTTATGGTATTTTTATGCACACTATTTGCATTAATGCTCGTCAATTTGAATTGAGTGAAATTAATTGGCAAGTCGAGTGCTTACCGATGGCATCTTCAGCCAAATGACTCAATCAAGCGAAGATGAGCCGTATTAACTTAACTTTGTCAAGCTTCCTATTAAGATGCGTGCGGCCTTTTAGCGAATGCACAAAGCAAAAAAAACTCGTATATCATTATATTATCGAGTTAATAAAATACAAATTCTGATACTCGTGTACAATGAGTAGTTTTTTCTCGCCTTATTGCCGCGAAGAAGTAAATTATTTTAGCCATTCATCTGTCTTTGGAATTTCAAATTGCCTTGAGTGGCAGAAAAACCGTTAAAATAGGTAATTAAGTATTGAGGAATGTTTTTTCGTCATCACCCATCGCTGTAGAATTTAATAATATAATATGTATATATTGAATAAAATCAATACGGCCAAATTCTTCATTCTACGGTTACATTCAATTAGCGGAGTCATTATTAAAATCGCGCGCGCGGGAGCGAAATGTTAAGTTCTAGCTCAATAAGCATTTAGATCAGCCAGCTGGCGATTTAATTAGAGTCACAGCCATTGACGAATGATCCGCTGAGCGTGAAATAATTGAGATATATTAGTACTGTCTTTGGGACTCACCAAGAGAACGAAAATGAGACTACACACATTGACCATGGCCATCCTTAGCGGCGGATTATATTCGATGCTGAAGAATTTTCCACTGTTGATCTCGCGCAATTCAACTCGACGAATACTTCTCGGCGATGATTTATGGCTTATTGTTGAGATGGAATGTCATACTCGTTGACATTTAGCCACCCCAAAGTGATGAAGAACAACCTATTTTTTCTCTCCGATGAAACATCCAAGAAAAAAAGCATGATTGTTGATGCAATGCGCAACTATTTGGGTCTCCACTGCACACAATTCACTTTCTTCTGGGGTTTTGTTTTGCGGATTTAACATATGTAAATACAGCATAGATTATCCGCCCACTTGTTCCGCCACACACGAAAATCACCATTTACTGCACTGAGCGTTCATAATTCAATCTACTCAATCCCATTATTACATGGAATTTCTTCAAATAACGCTCAATTTAAAACTGATTGAAATCATTGGCTGGCGCGAGGAATTACGAAAAATCTTTATATGTCAGCCTTGAAATTCTCCATACGAAATTTGGTCTTGTAATTGTTTGTTAGATGGATTTTTTCGCTAAAATAACTTTTCTTTCACTTCACAGAGAGAGGGAGAGAGAGAGAGAGACACCCAAAATCGTGGCGCGAGAAGACTTTTTCGCCACACCGCACAATGCCAAAAGGTGGTTGTTTCCCGCTCCGCGGTCTAAGTTGCACTGAAACTGAAACAGAAATTAAATTGGCATAAGAAAGTCTCCCGTCTCTGGCTTCGACTTATGGAAGTGTTTATGAGTGGCGTATAAAAATGTTTAATGTGTTTGTATGGCTTTTATATGAAAATAGCGAAACTGTCGCTGAGATTCCAGTTGTGTGAGCTTTGGATTGCCTCTGGACAAGTTCCACTGAAGAAAAACCATTTTTCCTTTTTTCATCGCCCAGAACAAACCCTCGTGAGCGGTGAATGTGGAGACGCCAGGTGATTTGAGCTCATTGTCTCATTTCCACTGCACTCACTTGCGCTTTTTGGGTCTCGACAGACGGCAATATTGCAATTGATCGTTCTGCAAGTCTTTCGAATCAATGCCTTAAAATTCTCTAGCTTCTATTGGGATTGGAAGAGCAAGGAGCGCTGCAATAAGCTCATTTATTCATCAGATAAACATTAGAATTATAAGTTATGGTCTGAAACTCAAGCATTGCGCGAAGTCTCACGGCCATAATCTCTAACTTTAACAATTTATTACTGGCCATTTTACTCTTTTCATTCACTTGAAAATTGAAGAAAACAAACGGTGTCAATTTATGCACAAAATAATTACAGAATTTGAATAAATTGTAGCACGTATTGAATATTTTCGCTGTAATTCATCGATGTTTTCCTGCACTCTAATTAACCGCGCTGTCTATAGAGTCCATAGAGTCACATAATTTATTCACGATGAAAAAGAAGTAATAGTGAGTAGAATGTTTTTATTGCCCCGAGACACTAAACCACCTACATCAATTAATAACAAAATTGTCTCAAATGTCATGCATTTTACGATTCCGGTTGTTTTATACAGCCTCTCATTGTAATTACTCTGCCGACCGGCAATATAATTTGAGCAATCGCCCAAATTGATGAATCGCGCTGGAAGTGGAAATCTTTTTTGCTCGCCCAATTAGACTTTTCGAGTTCACGGTCATCCGGTCAAAGTTATGAAAATTGACTCTGACGCTGCTTTATGCCCAAGGATTCAAGCCTCACTAGCACCACAAAATTCCATCGAGTGTGAAATGCGACTACAAATCGATAATTTCGTTAACATTATCGATTTGGCCGATCATGAATGGCGCGGTTATGCATTTGAGATCGCGATGTTGTTCTCTTGTCTTTCCTCTCCTCTCAAACGCTCGTGCGATATTGTTTTCATTGTAAATCGTCCTCAGTCGATGCATGAAGTTATTTGTCGGCCGCGAGCACAATGGATTCCCCAAGCCATGCACTATTTTTTGCAGTTCATCTCTGAACTTGACATTTACAGGAAGAAACACATATTATCTAACACACGGTGATTCAACGCACACTTTCAATTACTAATAATATTCCATGTGAACATATTTCAGGTTCTTTCTTTTTTCTCATACACCACGCGTTCGTGCATTTCTCATTCCACCTAGATTTGAGTATATTTATGCCTAGGTTTGTCCACACAAAGTTGCGAGAAAACCAGAATATGATCTGACGAACTTGTTCCTTTTACCGTGCCTAACGATTTATTTTTTAAAATAAACTCCGCGCGAGTGTTTTCAAGTTCAAATTTGCCGCTATGACGTTGTTGGAAATAATTGAACACTCACCACAAGATAAAGCACAAAGAGTTAATCTTTTTCGGGTTGTGGTTTAATTATTCATATCCGGTATTTGTGCCTACACAATTTTTCCCGAAGGAAAATCATGCATCATCAATTGTGGGTTATTCATCCCTGTGGTTCGGACTATTGGATTCCGTCTTTGGCTGAGTCACGGAGAAAATTTAATGAGAATATAGCTGTGAATTTCGGGAAGATTATTTATTTAACAGGGAATAACAACGATAAATAAACCAGCCATAAGTTGAGTGAGAAATACCACAGAATTGCCTCTCACCTGTGAAAACGCTCAGGTGACTAACAAACGGCCCATGAATTTCCCATGAAACTTGCGATCCATCCTGTAGTAAATCGCCTACATTCAGGCATTTGGGTAGATTAATTTACGATCGCGATTTCAGGTGTGGGCTGATAAAGTTGCAATTGATCTCTCACAGCCGCTCATGAACCGTTTCTTCACGTAGGAATTCACCGTTCTTTCGCAGCACAAGGAAGTGAAATTGAATATCACTCAGCATTTTGCGTCATATCAGATTTATGACGACAGAGCGCGGCTCGAAAAGTGATCTTCAAGGATATAAAATAAATCATCGCATGATTCACGACCACTGAAACCGGTGAGAAATGTCTCTCCTCATCGTCGCTCACCCACAATGTCTCGCAGACCATACTCAGTGGTCCGCCTAATTGTTTCTGGTGTCCAGAGAAATTTCCACTCGATTAATTTGATTGAAATCGCGCAATTAAAAAGCTTAAGACAATGATTAAAACGCCCGCGTATCAATCGAGCGGATCTGCAAGAAAAGAACTCTTGTAACTCAGCGCTGGGCGCATTGGTTCCACATTAGAAACGTGTGCTGCAGACCAGAGGATACCCGCAATGAAGAATGTCGGTGGAGGTGGAATAATTATGTAACTAGTAAACCGTGAAACGCCTTCAAATCGTTATGCATTACCCAATATTTATAATAATCAGACATTATATCAAGTGTAAACATTATCCTAATTTGTTATCGTTGAATAATAGGATTAGCAAACTATTTTATAAAATACACTTATTAAAATCGGGTATGCGAATTCACACGTAACTGGGAGAGGGAAAAAGATGTGGAATTCCTCGAATGTTTGCAGTCAATTAAGTCGCCAGCCTCAAGATCTTTCAAGGTTGAAAAATTGTGCAATAATATGAGATTAAACGCTAAAAATAATTCCAGCCTCTTTCACACACACACTCTGTTTCCCTTCATTTCGTCTCAAAACGAAACACATTAATCAATTTGCCGAACTTGTATGAATTTTATGGTGTCGAAGAAGTTGTGATATTTGCACTTGATTTGGTATTTTTCGAAAAATCACAACTTGCCCAGTTTCAGCATCATTCACAAAATTAAACCAATACTTTAGCAATTACAGTGGGCAAAATATGAATAATTGCCAAAGGTGTGACAATGCCCGGTAAACGATTAAGTATTCATAAAAATGCATTTTATTCATGATTTATTACAATATTTATAGGGGAAGTAAAACAATACTTTAGGCGTTATTGTAAATTTATTAGTGTTTTTAAACTGCTCTAGATTTGTACTAGAAACTAACTAAACCGTTGAGAGGAAATAACACTCATGTTTCATGAATTTATTAGGAAAATCAGTGGAAATTAAAGGATTTATCAAAGGAGCTTTTACAATATTCTGCTTATCATTAATCATCACATTTTTTGCACTTCATTTCTTCTTCTGATTGGCATTTTCTGTGCATTTATCGACAGACAGCCAATAAAATTGAACGAAAAATAAAATTTATTTAAACCAGTTTTCACCAAGAACGTGTCAAATTGCAAACAAAAATCCTATTTCTGCATAAATTATAAGGAAAAATTGTGCTTTTCTCTGAATCATATTACTTTATAGAAAGGCAAAAAGGAAGAAATCTGTACTCTTAAACTACAGGTGTCACCTGAAATTTTACCACATATACATTTACGTTACATGTAATTTACGAATTCCAAGCGTAGTGTTTTTTTGTAACGCATTGAAGCCATAACAAGTTTGCTTTCTTGTGGTTTTATTCTTTTAGCTCTGCAATGAACAATCTGTTGCTTTCGTGCCACTTATCGTGATAATATTTGACGCCATAACTTACCTTTTCGAGAAGACTGTAAATTCTCTTATTTTAATAATCAGGATTATTATTAACATGTTCTCTCGCGCTGTAGTCACTCTTGACCTTCTTCAAGAAAAAAATAAAACAGAGACACGTTTTGCTCAGCACTGCCTCTCCCTCTGGCATTGTGACTGGTATCCTACAGGTAGGCGTTTCGTGTTGTATGATAAAACACTATAAAGTACACAAACAGGCCCAAAAGACTTTAATTATTCCGGCATTTGAGTTTTATTTGTCTGCTGAGGAACACATTAATCTATTTCCCGTGTTTGGATAATTTTTATGATGTCAAGAGAGTTGTAATTTTCCAATTTAAGACCAAAAACCAATATACATAATTAATTAACCATAGAAAAATGTTATAATTTCTTACATCACCCACAAATGCTTCGGAATTCGCTTTGCCTCGCATGCGAGAGACAGTCAGAACTTCATACACCATAACGTACAATTTTTTTTTGAGTGGAGAGAAATATAAAAATGAAATCGCTATCAGTAAAAATTATTCTATATCTCCAGCTCACTTAACAATTATTCAACGTGTGTTATGAAACGTAATGCTAATAACAAATGAGTACCTATAGGTACACACGAGCCACACATGCCACAGATGGTCTCACTCTCTTTTTGCATGAAAAACCAGTAGGTAAAGCGATAAACCTACCCTGCAATTTCCACCAGTATCTCGATTGAGGCATAGACAATACCAGTTCACTGGGATGCTGAAGACAAATGTTGCGCTTAAGTAGATTTCGCTGTTCTATCGCGAGACTTGGGCAATAAAATTGATTCGATTTTTATGCGACATCCAACATAAAAATGGCAGTTCGGCAATAAATGGGGCGACCTTTGGGGATTGCGTTCAAGGAAGAGCCAACGAGGCGACATTTAAAACTGCGATGAACGTGCTTGGCTACCAATACTTCCGAAAGTGACGAAAACAACCCCCACACGAATTCCTCCACATCAGCACGCGATTCGATTAGCAATATGGTTTGAAAAGAAATGTGTTCCACCTGTTTGATTCTTCAGTGTGTTTGAAATGTATAGCAAGAAATGGTGCGACTCCCAATGCAATACTGGTGGCGGGATTAACAAAGTCGCAGCGTATAAAAGTCGAGTAGTTGGTCTTCGGCGGTGTTGTTGGTAAACAAACGTCGAAGAAGTAGTACAAGCTCGAGAATTGTCTCTCACATTTCGTGGACTGTGTTTTTTTTATTGAATTTTTCTAGTGTGATAAGTTATTTTGTACAATATATTATCAAAATGAAAAATCTGGTGAGTTTTGCCATGCAATCTTATTTCTATGCAATCTCGAGAGTGTCTCGTGTTGTGAAGAAAAGTGAATAATGCTGAGCAACGAAATTGGATTATATATACGATTTTTGTGTGTGGAATTCATTGTGCAACGCGATATATTGTGAAGTATTGTACTTGCTCAATTGCATTCACAATTAATCTTCATTGCACGGCATTTTGGGGATAAATCACCCACCAAATTGCAGACAGTGTGGATTTGTAGCGCACAAGAGAGTTAAAATGCAAGACTGCAAATCGATGGATAGTAAAATTTAATTGTGTGAAAATGTGTAGCCACTTGATATCACTTTCATTTTCCACTGATGCCAGAGGAGAAATTTTCATTCGCACTGAATTCGCAAATGAAAAACGAGCGCGCGCTCAAGAGCAGAATGTATAATTGATAAATGTCAATTGCAGGTGATCTTTATTGCGCTCACGACCATCGTGGCGGTTCAAAGTCAACAGTACACCACGCCTGTACCAATCCTGAAACAGATCAACCGTCACAATGAGGATGGCTCGTACAGGTACGCACTTTCATCATCAGCACTATGATCTTGAGATAATAATCGTGCATTTTGTAATTACAACGCTCAGCTTCGGCTACGAGGCGGCCGATGGCAGTTTCAAGATCGAGACAAAGCATCCAAACGGGGAGGTTTTCGGCAAATACGGCTATGTCGATGCAGGAGGAAAGCTGAGAGAAATTTCTTATGGAGCCAGCAAGAGAGGTTTTGAGCCAGAAGGTAATTACTCAACTTTCACTTGCACACATTTTCTAACATCTCGCGCGACCTTGTTTCAATATCGCAGGTACTGACATTAATGTGCCACCACCGACTCTGGACAACAACCCCGAAGCCATCCGGCCACTGGGACCCAACGAGGAGGACGACGGACAGTACCGTGAGGATCCCAGCGTGTACTACAAGGAGGAGAAGTACAACACGCCCGTGCGCTCGCAGCCCGCGACCCAGCACGGCTTCAACTACCAGGCCGGCCCCAATCAGTACTACAACGAGAACGCCGCTGTGCGAGAGCAGGCTCCGGTTTATCAACAACCCCAGCACAGATTCAACTATCAGCAGCCCCATTACTACCAGCCACAGTCGCACGGTCGCTACCAGGCGCACCCCGCTGCCACGCACTTCGACATCAACACGGGGTCCTACACCCTGCAGTACACTGGCTAGACTGGCCACCCCTCCCCACCTCCCCACACCAATGTACCAAAAGCTTACTGCACTCTCCCCTCTCATCCCCCTCTTCCCCTCAAAAGCGAGTGCTCTAACGCTCCCCTCAAGTCAAGAAAATAAAGTACTGTGTTAAGATTTGTACTTTTCGTGTCTCTCACTCCCCACCAGGCGCCCCCACTGCACTCGCGATTGCAACACGCGGACATAAAGTATCCTGGTTGCGTCACTCAATGGAATTTAATCTCAATAGCGCTAATCAATGGCTAAATTGCCCGTGGGTCAGTGTTGATCTCTTGTTGTTTATCAACTTCAATTAGTCACAATGACATCGCAAAAGTGACGAAAACGTCCCTCCTTCTGCACAAAGCATGTTTATTCATAAGAATCGCGCCACAATGCGGAACCTGCAGGCTTTTCACATTGTCCAAGCACAAGAAATCGAGCTGCCTTTGCTGTAATGATCAAAAATGGGAGAGGCTGGCAGCCTTGATGAACATTCTGTGAAAAGTGGTTTTTGCCGTCCAGAGTCCACCGGTTGTGGCGACAAGAAAAAAGAGGTTTAAGGAATACCACTTCGCCTCTTCGCGATACTGCCAACCCAAGAATTCGCCCAAAACATGTCCGGAAGTGACCTTGAGGTGAAAACTGGAATGTTGTTATCAACACGGGTCCCTTGCACAAAATGTCAATGCCAGAGCCCGAAACAAATTTAGGCTGAATCCATTAATGTTGATGCACTGCCCGACATGGAAATGTGTGGTTGTTGGCAACCTTCGATTGGGTGGAAACTGGTCGCTGAGAGCGCACTTTTACCATCGCCACGCCATACAGAGATCGAAGCAGAACAGACAAGGAACAACCTTGCAAGAGGCTCTCAATTAGAATTCCACAAGTTGCATAGCGAAACACTTTGTGTTCTGCATATAATGCAAGTTCTCACGTCAATTTCAGCAAGTCCAACGAAAATTCTCATGATCTAATAAGATGAGGTTGGAAAAAAATTGATTTTTTTTTCTTATTTCATGGTTTTGGAAGAGTGCGCAAACTGAAAAGAGCGCCTTGTAAGGGAAATAATTAATACGGCAGAGAGAAGCTGGACTGGATATTAAATTCAATCGTGCCAGTGATCTCACAATATATCGACAGACCATCTAAGTATCCGCATGTACATTCATAAAATTGACACTCTCAATTTCTGCCATGAGATGCAATTTAATATGTACAAGCATAAGTCGATCAGTTGATCAAATTCGTGATCGTCTAGTGCTCTCTGGCGATCATATAAGAAGCAACATACTTTTCGTGATGAAATTGAAAGTAATTACGTCACAAACTTGACTCAATGATACAGTTAAGGCAAAGTGTGGTTACGGTGGGATTCAGAGCGCATTTAAATTAATATCATGCAGACGAAATATATGGAAAAATAGGGGGATAATGACCGGGTGGGTGGACAAATGTCGGGAATGTGATAGCAGAAAGTGAATATCCAACATTTCCTGAAAGAAAATACACCTCAAAATTACTGCTTCTCTCTTTCTCTGTCTCTACTTTTATGCCGTGCACGCGTCTCTCGCCCCGAAATGTATCACTTTGTCAACTCTCATTTTTAAGGCATATTCAATGCAAGAAATTCAAAGTGCGGAGACGCGTTTTTTTCCGTGTCGCATTACAATCATGTCCGCGCACAGGTGAACTAATGTTGTCTCTCCTGAGAATTTTTAGAAAACATTTCACCTAGAAATTCACTGGCGGCTTTTTGCATCCACAATTCACTCTCCCGCCAATTCTTTTAAAATTCACATACTAACATTGGTTGGTTGAACTGCTCGATGTCTCTTTCCCGCACGAGTCCATCACGCTAACACGCAAGTAAGACAGCAATACACCTGCCGTGGCAGCAAATTGAGTCAGTATAAAAGCCCCCAAAGTGACTCCAGACAGATCAGTAGTGCTGCGAATTTAAACTGGTCACCGTTAGTTTAATTATTTTCATATTAAGTATTAAAGAAATGTCTCGACTAATCAATGTGGTACGTGTGGAATTTTTTTCAAGACGAATTTCTCTTATGTTTTGGTGTAGAAAAAGACACATTGTTGGGCTTTTTTTGTCATCGCGCAATGACAAGGAAACACTTGAAGTTGTTCCAAATAATTTTTCATCCATGTACAAACGAGAGAAAATGGAAAGGACTTTTTGCAGTGTGACAAACAATGTTAGATAACACAAGGAATTGAATTGGATGAAAGCTTTTGCAACGATTGATAATGTGTTTCATATCAGCAAATTTGCAATTCGCGGAATCAGCGGTGATCATTTAATTTATTTTGCCACCTAAAAGTGATATTAAATATCTAAAATTCATGTCATGGCGCTGCTGAAGTTAAATTTTAAGTGAGAGTTGCGAGTTACACGATCTTGAGATGGAAATAAAGCCCCCAGAGGGATATTTAGACCGAGAGTGTTTCCATATTTACATAATATCTATCAGTCGAATGTGGAAGTATGGATTTAACTCTTAATTACACAACCATTTTCAGGTGGTGATTTTGTGCATGGCACTTGCGGCCACGGCTCAAGACTATGACGAATACTATACGGGAAATTCAGGAAAGCCACGTCCAGCGCCAATCCGCCTGCGCCAGGGAAATGAGCCAGCTCCGACTCCTGTGCCAATTCTTAAACAGATAAACAGGTTATATAACAATTTCTGAATCTCATATGCATTCAATTGTAACTTCTCACCAGTCCGAGAGATCCAACAGACAAATTTTTCAAGCTAAACAACCTCGTAAAGAGACCTTTCACGACTTTTCCGTACTGTTCATTTTCTGCTATAAAGCTCACATTCGATACTCACCCATTGCAGATACAATGAGCATGGGTTTTTGTTTAATAAGCCAAAAAGAATGTGTGTACACCTCAATCAAGCATGCCAGAGAGAAGTTGTTCAGAGGTGCACACAGATTGTGTGTCTTCACAATACGGGCAGACTTTGTCAATGAAATTCACACACAAATTTTAATCGCTGGTGAGAAGAGCAGCTTGACCAGATGCAAAACACTCCGGGAGCATTACAATCTGTGCAGAATATGTCGAAATGCACATTGGATGTGATTGTGCATGGTGTTATGCTCATGGTTGCATTACAAAATGATGAATATGTGCTAAAGAATCATAATTTAGCCAGCGTGTGAAAGAAGATGGGTTCCCATCACTCTTGATGTGATTAGGAAATCACTCACCAAGCAAGCGCATTAGTTATATCATTTACTGCCGAACTAAGTCATTGTCAGAGCCTTCATTGACTTATTGCTGTTCCACTTTTCAGGCACAATGAAGACGGTTCTTACACGTACGGCTACGAAGGAGCTGACGGCTCGTTCAAGATCGAGACCAAGTCGCCCACCGGTGAGGTGAAGGGAAAGTATGGGTACGTGGATGAGACCGGAAAGGTGCGCGTCGTGGAGTATGGCGCCAACAAGTTCGGCTTCCAGCCGTCCGGAGAGGGAATCACCGTCGCCCCACCCACGCTAGTCGACGAGACGACCAACAAGGACGGCCTGACCGTGGACTATGAGGACGAGCCGCAGCCCCAGAAGCCTTACGTATGCAGCACGACAGCAGTGATTAAAGTGCACTTTCTCATGTCATAACACCTCTTCTAGATCGCCAGAGTGGCGCGGCCCCAGCAGGTGCGACCCAGACCCCAACCTCAGCAGCAGTTCGTGGAATATGAGCACATCCAGCCACAGGCGAGGGCTCCAGTGCAGCACGCCAGACCTGTTCAGCTGGCCAGGCAGCACTACTCCGAATCACCCGTGCCAGCGCGCGCCCAAGTCGCCGGCGCCGTGCCCGCTTCCGATGTCGTCTACTCGCGAGAGCAGCGGCCAGCTCGCCCTGATCCAGCCTACAGCCAGCGCCACACATTCTCAGGCTTCGGATCGGGCATTCCCTCCCAGCAAGACGCCAACCTTGCCTACCAGTCGCAAGCGCCGCAAGAGGTGCAATACTCTGCTCCACGAGCTGCCGTTCCCGCGCCCACATATTCCCGCCCACAGGCCGGAAGGAGCGCGAGTCTCCTCGACCAGCTGGCCAAGGACTACGCCCTGCCACAGAACGGCGCAGCTCCCCTGCATGACATCACCTTCGGATATTACTAAGTGAATTTATGGCTTGCCTTGTAACAGGCGAGAAAGGAGCCAAGAATCATCAACAAGGCTCATGACGCGTTTTGTAAATTTCTAGATAATCATTATTGATTGCTATATTTAATAAAACCTGGATTTTTTTTTAACCATTTACTTTGGGACTTGCCGAATGTCGAGGATATGTAAGCAGGTTCTGGAGGATGTTTATTTATTAAAACTTTGAAAAAGAATCACGTTTGACATGATTATATTCAGTAAGTATGAAATGACTTGAAAAATTGAGAAATATCATTATGCAAATGTTCTTCACCTTCAATTTGAAGCTCTGTTGCTGCAATTTATTATATGTAGTTGAATAGGCAAAAGCATGTTAGATGCGCGGTGAATGGAACACACTGTATCTAATATGATTGGCTTTACGCCAAGAAGTATGCAATTTCGGTAAGACTTTTGATATGTATGTGAGCATCATATTTGAGCTTTCGAAGTTTCTGCATAAATGCGGAATATTAACCAATTATAATCAAGAAATTTGAGACCGACGTGATTGTCAGACGCTGTTGGGAAGCTTCAAGTGTAATATTAATAACGTTATGAAGAAGAAGACGGATATGAAGTGTAGGAAAAACTTATGATGGATGAAATTTAGCAGATTGAAAGTGCTTCTCTGAATTTCATTGGCTCATTGTCGAGTTATGACAGGAAGCTAATTTTGCAGAAACATTTCACAAGTAAATGTGCAAAAAAGACAACAATTTCAAATAAAAACACATGTGAAAACACGTGTGTAGAACTTTTAAACCTGACGAGAATATCGGGGAAAATAAAGTTAAGATTAGGAGAATTTGCGAAGAGAAAATCCAATTAAACACTATTAGATAGATGATAAAGAAAATCGATATAAAAGAAAGTTTATGAATCATTAACTTTTTGAGACACATTTAGATCAAACATGTCTTATGATAACATCAATAAAAATAAATACGCGAATCTTTCAAAATGGGTTCGTAGATATTTATCAGAAGTTATGGGAAATAAGAGTTATAAGGAACAAAACAGGATCCAACATTTAATGAAATTGCCCTCTTAAAATCATTGAATTTTTTCAAATAAAAAAACCCCAGAAATTGTGTAATAAAGCAGGTGGCAAAATCGGTTTTCTATTAAATTATGCGAACACAAAAAAAACTATTAAAAGTAATATGTTTTATTCAATATACATTTATACATAGACTCTTCAAACATATACCTACATGTGTAAGCATATTGCATTCATAAAATGAATTTATACAATAATAAATTACAATGAGTATAAAAAGTACGTCATATTATTTACACATCGTTAACAAAATCACCTCTGATTTGTCACTTATGTTAAGTATACAAATTCTATTATACATAATTGATATCATTTTTCCTATCCACATTACAAGCTTATAGAGTAGATTTTCACCGGTACCCGCGATTCACTGCAAATCCTCGCGAGGATTCACCACGTTTGCGCAACATCCACAAATGGCTCTGCAAAAGGAAGAGAAGCATTAGATTTGGGAAGAGAAAGTTTGAGTGGCGTTAAAATGTTGGAGACAGATTTCATTCGCTGTCATACCGATAGACGTTTTGGCATTAAACGGCTGCGTCAGAACTTGACTACCACTTGGTTCTTTTCGTCAGTATCGTTCGTCTTTTCGGTCTGGGTCCATCTGTGAGTTCGTAGCTCACTGAGCGCTGTATATCGAAGTCCGCGCCACCAATCATGTGCTTTATGCTCTTGAGCTGCTGATGGTGAACTCTATTGTCCGTGGCATCGGGTTTGGAGTCCTCAACGACCGTGACACTTTTCTTTGGCAAGGCGTGTGATTGCTGGTTCTTTGCGGTCATCGCTGCGTACGTAGCGTATGGATCCTTGGGGTTGGTGAGCCAGTTGTGCTGGACACTGGGCAGGGCGGCCGGATTTCCATAAGCAGTCGTGATAGTCTGAGTCTGAACCACGCCAATTGGCGGTCCGTAGGCCTGATTGGGCCCGAGAGGCTTGAACTGTGGCACATACGACTGGGGATCTGAGGGTATGGCGTACTGGGTCAGTTTGTAATTGTCTTGAGGTGGGTGGTCAGTACTGGATGGGACTTTCTCATTCAGCACTTGTCGCAACACATCAGCAGCGCTCTGAATGGATTTCGATTGTATGTAATTCGCTGAATGTCCAGTCGTCAGTGGCGGATAATTCACATGCGAATGGTAGTCAAAGGCTTAACGTCGGAAAGATAATTAATATTAGTAATCTACCGTGATGTCTAAAATGTTGAGATGTGCACGCAATTAGTGACCGAAAAATAGTTACATAAACATCAAAATTGCTCATAATAACCAGAAATACTTTTGCTACACCCAAATTTCACTTGAAACTTATTCTCATGTCCATCTTCTTGATTCATCTCATGATTACACACAAAGTAATTCATCTCTGATCACTGATGCTCTAGATGAATCAAAATACAATCCATTATAAAGAAGAGCAGCATGAGTTATGAAATTTCTGAAAGTTGAATGATATTTTTATCTGGCTGTTTATTTGAAGTGATAAAACTTTATGTGATCTTTTCCACAGCAATTTCCCAGTCGGTTTGTGGGTGTGCTTGACTGAATTCAATAACACACCAAGAGAATTGCAATGAAAATACATGCCGGCAACTAGTTCAACTCGTTTTATGTTCCAGTAACGAGTTGGGATTTTTGAGTTGATGCTAAAAATTCCATAAGTGGACATTTCACTTTCCTTTTACCACATTAATTTATACTTTTTATACCACCCAAAGCCGCCAACACAGTCTCAATTGTCCATGTCTCGTAATTTTGGCAGCATGTACACTGTGATTTGAGTAGCAAGAGATCAACATACCCGTGGTCGGTGCTCCATATTTCGTGCTTACGTAACCCGGGGACACAGATGGTGAGCCGTAGGATGTCGTCAATGGGGCTGGGGGCAGGTATGCATGCTCGGAATGAGTGTCATAGCTGTGATGGTGCTCCACAGTGATTGGACTCTCGAAGCTAGTGAAGCCTTAAGGAGAAAAGAGAAAGGGATGTTATTGCAAAAGATGCCCGAATATCAGTTCATGATCAACAAGTTAATTTGCACAAAACTGTAGCGATATTGCTTTGGCACAGCAATTTCAATCTGATCTAATCCATACCTCTAATTCCCATCTCACATAATTTCTTCATTGATGAGCACAATGCGCGTATTGTGTAAGTGCAAATTAATATATATGTGTACCATAAAAGTGATTTGAAAAGCAACACGTGAGCACGACTACGTAAAATTTTATTAATCTGCAGTGAAACAAAGAGGCAACTAATTTCCTCTTAATCTCCATCACCACAGCGGAAAGTAAGGCAAGTGTTGCACCACCTGCAGTGTATAAAATCTCAATTTCCCTCTTCACCAAAATTTGAACCTCGCTCTTTAGCTTGTGTGGTTTTTGTGTGTCATAAGGTGAGATAGCTCAATTAATTTATTCACACTCACATTTAATAATAATCCAATTCGAAGTGTTTATGCAACATGCTTAAAAATCTCTTCGTAATTGTGTATAAAATAAAATATGAAAAAAGGATTCAGCGGAATTTTTTCCCAACACAAAATCGCCCCGGGCTTTCTTGTACGAAATCTTCGGGTAAATCATAGAAAAACAATATGAAATTCGAGTCAAATAAATTAGCGTAATTATACTCTTGGGTGTGTTGGTCGCGTACACCGGCAGAATGACTTTCAAATGAAAGTAAATTCAGGTCGTTGAGTTCACCGTATGAAATGCGCTCTCAGCCAATCTTAGTGATATGTCTTATGCGCGAGTTCATTACACCTTTGCAGAGATACTCTCGCGAGATTTGCACTCATAACAAAATACGTGAGATGAAGATCCAAAAAGTGATCATTTTTGTGAAATAGATGATTGTAAAAAATTTGTAATGAAAGTTCCTCTACTCTGTTTGCTTTATTTTACCGATTATATAAATGCTTCCTCATTGTCAGACACGCAGAAATCTTCCATGAAGGAGTGATTTCGGCGTGTAAAACTCAAAAAGAAGCGACTCTCCGTATATTGGAGTGTGTATATATTGTGTGTTAACGTCGAAGCATAAAAAAAATATACAAATTTCTCTCTCACTCTTTCTGGAGAGTCACACTTACTTTCACTGTGGCCAGTTGGACTCGAATGCTGTGAGCTTGAAGATCCACCGCTCAGCTTGGCGAAGGGATGAGGATTTGGCGGCACAAGGATGGCATTTGTGACAATCTTCTTCCCCACATTTGTAACCTTGTCTCCACTGGCGGCAATCAACTGGAAACATGAGCAATATTTGTTACATTTGTCCAGGCGTTGCACAATTTGTTGACTTCTTCAACGTGTTAAATGGCATTAAGAGCCTTTGGTGTGGCCATTTGTTCAACTGCAAATTGCATTAAAAGTGTGGCGCAAAGATGCAAAAAAACCGCACTTCTTCACATCCACTGAACCATTAAATACACTTTCTATCCAACGTGTAATTTTGGTTCGAAAACCCAATTAACGAAAGTATTTTTGTATTTCACTCTACATAATAATAGGAAGCTTTCATACCTTTCCTTTAGCACTTATCAGGTAGCCACTTCCTTTGATTAGCTGACCCTTGATGGCCGTAACGCCACCCGTGATGGCTTTCACAGCTTGGAACAGAGTGTTGAGGATGGACTTCTTCAAATGCCAAGCGTCAATCTTGATCTCTTCATGCTGAAATATGTCGAGTATTATCTCATTAGAATACATATTTGTCTTTGATTTTCCACTGAATCAACGCCACAGAAATATTCTGTGCGTGTGAAAAGTAAATAATTGGTCAAGTTCACGCAATGAAATGCAAATTGTAAACACAATTAATGGTATGGAAATTGATTAAGAAGGCTCATTACCGGTGCTGGATGGCTTTTAGAGCTGCTGCTGCCGCTGCTTCCCGCCGCAAGTGATGCTGAAGCCTGACCAATTCCACTCAGTATATGCTGTGGCAAATATAAGAAGATGCGAAGACATGAGAAAAAAAAAATGAATGCGCTTATCTGGAGCCTAATTTCAGCTGATATTTCGGAGATTTACTGTTTCTTTCTAATCAAATGTATGGCGCAATAAAATGTTATAACAATCACCTTTTTGATGCCACCAAACAAGTCAAATCCTGACCTTTTGGCTCTCGTAACATCGGACAATTTGTCAGATGCTGCAACTGGATCGAGAGAAGAGTCGCCAATTGGACTAGCCAGGAGACCAGGCAGTAACAGCACAGCACAGACGCAGAAGAGCTGCAATAAAAAAGTAAATCTCTCAAAAAGAGTCTCTTTACGTGCTAATTACTTTAATAGCCGCACTATGGGCACGAGTATGCAAAATAAGACGACAGTTCTTTTTCGCAATCGATACATTCTCTCTCGCGAGACAGGTGAGATCGTAAGATCGATGAACCTCTCGGCAAAGCCTCAAATTTGACCAACTTAGGAGCAAATTTCTAGAGTGATTTCACAATTTATGCGTATAGATATACAAAAACTGCATCTGGCAATGATAATGAATGGCAATCTTGCATCAAGTTTCACTCTGTTGCACTTTCAAATGTTTCAAAATACAAAAAGGTGTTTTTCCTCTTATTAATAAGCTTCAAACTTCCATAAATGTTCTCTAATTGTTATCACGCAATGTCAATCTATTATAAAATTCCTCATTTCCCAGTCTTTTGGACCAATTCTTGCGCAATCGCCGATCACATATTTGAAAAGTTGTAATTAACATATTACTCCAATTCGCGATTATTTATTCACACACACATACCAAGGTGTGATTCACATTATATACTGAAATCCGCTTTACCGGAACTCACATTGAAAATGAAACATCTCTTCGGCGCTGAGGCACGATTTTTCTTTTCTTTCTGCATGAGGAATTAAACCATCGCCCAGACTGATGGATATTTAATAAAATAAATACAACAATAAATGCATAAACTTATACAACAATAGAAATTATTCACTTCCTCTCACTTCAGGTATGAAATGTCACTTTCTTCTCTGCAATTGTAGTGCGTTTCATTCATAAGATTTTGATTTTCCTATCACTTTATTACTGTGACTTTAGTGTGAGCTATTAAATGCCCAAAAATATCACTATGGGGAAATAGAAGTTGCGCTTTAATGCCGGTTTTATTTGCACAATATCTCCCCACACGAGTGCGATAAATTTTATACTTTATATTTATGATGATGTATATGCGAAGAAAGTTGCCTCAAGTTCATGGTGGCAACTTGGCATCGCGCGTCCCAAGCGAAGAAACAGGGGAAGACAATTGGATGAATGTCTTTTGTGTGCCTGCCAAATTGAATCAGAGGTAATTTTGCATGCATTATGCACATTCATGGGTGGATATGTTGCATTTAGGGAGCACAAAAAGTGCCTCTGATGGCCAATAACTTCACTTGTTTCTCATAACATTTGCGTAGAAGAAATTTACACGAAAAACCGGATTTTAGATGTCGAGAGAGATGAGAAGAAGCGCGGAGTCTGTCATTGAATCGAGTGGAGAAAGTGCAGAAAAAACCAAATCAAACAACACCAACGAATGAGCATCACTCGCGCCACTTCAATTGCAACATGAAAACCATCCACTAATGAAGATATAAGTAACAATTTGTCATCACACAGCCATTTCCTGAAGATGCTACAGAACAATTACCTTCATGATTAATGAGTCGTTTCGGGGGAGGAGACGGAAAAAAGAGTCAATAACACTCCTTGGCGTTGAGATGTTCAGGGAAGAAAGTGTTGAAAAGAGAAATTGCACCAGTGCGATTATCCTTTCCCACCTCAAATTAGGTACATAGTATTAATATCACTTTTATTTCACTTTGAATGCAGATTGAACTCTTGTGCTGGATTAACTTTTTCTGACTTCATCTACATTGAATCACTTTTACTCCAATGTGCCGAAAAGTTTTGTGCAATCTCGTGTGTCTTTCTCTCGAAACTCTCTCCAAGCAACTGAATCCGAGTTGATGGCTTGTGAACATCCAATAACACAATTTGCACCTCAACGTTCACTCTCCGGCTTTCCGTCGTTTTTAAATTATTCCACTTGTGGTACTAAGAAAGAAACCAAGTGGTACACACTTTTATATAAACACATGTATAAAGATTCCCCTTTCGACAGCCCCACCTTATCAAATTCGCATCCCCACCACCGGTGAAATACGCGATTTATACCGTGTTATGGCAGCAATCTTTGCGACATTCAAAGGACAAAACCCCCTTAAAATCATAGTCTTTGCAATTACCTTATGAATATTTTCAGGGTTTCCCAACGAGCGACACCATCAGTACAGTACTTATGTAGGGAAAAGCATGAGGTATTAGATTATTAGATGGATCACAAGTATAGCAAAATTGAATTGGTGTTTTGGTTCAGCGCTTTATGAAATTGACACATTCGTCAGTCAAGAGATTTCCATGATTTCCATAAAATAAGAGACATGGCATTGTATGAATTATTAGGTCCAGTTGATGGTTCAAATTACGTACAATTAAATTGGCATTACCGTAAAAGAAGTACAAAACGCTTTTACTTTTCCCTCCCATCGCATAATCCTCTCTAAATAAGCAAAACAGTTTTCGGAAGTATCATTCACAGCGGGTATTACTTCATTGTGCGGTTGAAGAGCAGACGCGATATTGGATATCTATTTATCTCCATCACAGATTTATGCATAACTTCCGTGAAATTGCACGAAATTTCTCAACTTCGATTCACATTGATAAGATGATGATGGATTTCAGTTTCGATGCTCTTCAGCCGTTACGAAGTGGAATTGAATCGAAGAAAAACCACATACTTTTAGGCGCACTTCGGCAATTCAAAGAGGCTCCAAAGATGGTACTTCTTCGTCTCAACAGACATTTTGACCCGTTGTCCAAGATCACATTTGGCAATAAAATGGAATTTCCTATCATAATTGATAATTGTATCTGGACTACGTCATTGCGTTATTAGATTACATAGCGAAAGAAGAGTGCTTCTTGCAGTTAACATTCTTTGTTGATGAAAGCATTCTTAGATCTGCTATATATGCCGATCGATGAATTGGCATCGCTTCTAGTTTGTTTCTGAGCTTTGACTAAAGAACAAGTGTATTATTGAATTAAGTTACTTTCTCGTTGTGATATGTGCGATACCAATTCAGTGGTCATGCAAATAAATCGTGTTCCGTACCACAAAATTGTGATCATTTTATTAGTATTTCACGTAATGGTAAAAATATTGGCAAATTGCTCAATAGAAAGTTTGACATTTACCTAAAATAAATCATGGCTTTTCGCAGTCTTTTGACGTTCTCGTGAATGCAGGAAAATTCAGAATTACAGTGCTGAAGAGTTTTAGGGTAAATCAACCACGCAAGCAATCTTCTTCTTGATTTCTCACGAGTGATTTTCTTTGCAAAGCTTCGCCTGGATAACAATGGAGTGAGAAATTCAACTTTGAACCACGATTGGCGATGTTCTGCTGAGAATATTCCCCAATATGATTGTCAAAGGAATCAGAGTGATGTGCCAAATCCCAGGATGACGTTCTGCCTCAAGGATTCGAATTATCCGCAGCAACTCATCGAACGTCTTTTATCGGAGAACATTGATTTGTACCACGGGCAACTCACCAACGACCGTGCGACGGCGCCGGAAGTCTCAAGGAGCGGTTATGTCGACGAGGAATCATTTTGCAATTACCAAGAAACGAGGATTTATCCGCAGCGTGCGTTGAGCAGGCAAAATAAGTGGCTGACTATAGTGAATTACAAGGAATTCGCGCAATCCGTCAGAGTGGAATACTGCATGTTAGTATCCTTTTATTAATACCTTTAAGATTTTGCTGCAAACATAAGTCTAATAGCATTTGTCAGGATTTCCTTCGAACATCATCATTTTCAGGAAAAAAAATTTCATGATCAAAAGCAAATCTTTTTGACAATCAAATCTTCATTTTCAGAAACGAAGGTGAAACTTGCAGCTATCGTCACTTGGTTCGCGACGGAGTGGAAACATACTGCAAAACAAAGTATATTTACAGGCAACTTCTGTCGCTAAATGAAGATAATCAACTAGAGATCAATTATTTTCTATTGCCCTACTGTTGTAAGTGCTACTTAAGGAGCCATAATTGATGAATTTCCTAATAAATAAAGCCTACTAATTTTTTGACCAGGCACTGTATTTGCAGTTTTTCTGTGTAGTTTTCTTATCGTATTCACACAGGTGCAAACATATGCATGCAAGTGAGTAAAAGTGGTCGTGCGTCCATACAGTAAATGCATGAATTTAATGATATGCGTTTATCATCAATAAACAATAAAGCAACTGATATATTAAAATTCCAGAAGCAGAAAATGTTTATTTCAGGATCAAATCAGAAGTGTTTTAAATTTGTGTATTTTTTAGTATTATGGTAAATGCAAAGCGATCGAATTGACTCCAATTTCCAAGTCAAATCCACACTGAAACTGAGTTTTCTCAGGAAAAAACTGCCTCTTTTATATGAAAAAAATTGCAAATATAAATTCAGGTTGGCAGAAGGTCAAAAGTCTCAAGCTGCAAAAGTAAAAGTACTGCGATTTAGGTTAAAACCAAATCCTCGAGTCTGTCCGAAGGCTCACTTTTGGCTTTGTCGTAAAAAATAGCGACACAGCGACAAAAATGTGAATAAATGGAGATCCGCGGACTTGTGACTGTTCACTGACTGTCTGTGTAAGTGGACACATTACTATCGTTTATTGGTAAAAGTTGGGATTGTCTCCGGCAATTGGCACAGTCTGAGGAGTTTCTGAAGAGCCTTTGGTGACCGTCGAAATCAGCCCCTCCACTTTTACCTGTTGGCCGGGTTTGAAGCCAGTTACAACTTTTCCGTGTTTGCGACAAGATCACTTCATCAGTCTGTGGACGAGCAGTGAAACGCTGAGACTATGTGAAAACGTTCTCGCGCTCAACATCACGTTTCGCAATATTATTTTTATCATGTTTGAGTGAATCAGTGGGGAATTTTCACGAAAAGTGTAATTGTGAGATATAAAAAGGAAAATCTCGTGGTGTGATTCCAGCAAAAGGTGCTTTACGAGCGAAATATCAAGGCATGATTAACATGCAATTTCATCTAATTATTCTCTTTGGACTTTTTATGGTAATTAACCATATATTCAATCTATTATTATCATATTCATAAATTCAATGAATAGTGAAAAGTCGTCTAATGAAGCACACTTTCTGCCAATACACAGTGTTTGGTGGAGTTTTTTTTTTGGTTTCACCTTTTGTGACAGTTTAAACTACTTATCATCCGAAATGTGTTGTGTTTACCATTAGTCAACTCAAGGTTAAAGCCACACAATTGCAAGCTTCAATTTTTTAAATCTGTCGTGCACACTGCTAAACAAACCAGTTTAGCGTGTGCTAATGGCTAAAAAACTTATTATATCGCTCAATTTGTTCGGTATTTTTTCTCGAAAAAGTCCCTCAAATTTGAGAAATTCACCCGCACTCAACAACACTCTTGTTTGGATAATTATTTAGAGAGCAAGAAGTCGGCAATTTGGTAACTGTAAATTAGTCTCTCAGGCCTAAATGCTCGTTGATGGCTCAGGTAAACGAGAAAAGAGTCAATCCTCTGAGCAATAATACAGAGGAGTGGCAATGCCGAATTGCCCTTAGTAAGTTTGTTGGCCCTCTTGAAATTGATACAGTTAATGTATGGATAAATTTGATGAAAATCCACTGAAATTTTATGATGAGAACGTTAAATATTCATTTTTGCTGAAATTCAAAGAATTGTGTTGAAGCCGTTAAAAATATTCTATCGCGATATACAAACAGAAAATAGGAAAAAGCCGGGCATTTTTGATCCACCAAATCTGGACTTTAAAATACAAATCACTCGAGTAGAATTGAATGAATCCTTATCAGACAGATTGTAATTTCAAACTCAAGTTTTCACATTTCTGTTCTAAAGAATGACAATTTTCATGAGCAAAATGTGTCAAGCAGTAAGAATGTTGGGGAACACAACGGTATTTCTATAAAATCAAGCATAAATTTTAATATTTCACACACTTAAGAGCGATTTTAATATTAATTGAATGATTTCGTGAATATCGATACCAGAACGTGTGTTTCTGATAAGTTGTTTGCCTCTTGAATTTACATTCTTGTTCACGTTCTTGTAGCTAATTAAATGAATGTGAACTTTTCATTGTGTTTAGTTTCTTGTTTTCTACTTTGCAACAAAGTTGCCATTTTTCTAGCCTAAATGCACCGTCACGATTGAGATCGTGAAGCACTAATAAGCGTGCCCAAAATTCCCTGCTCTCCTCTACATTCCGAGAAGCTTAAGTCGCATCGTGCTAATTTTCATCTTATTGTTTGACTTTGACTTGAGTATTTCTGGTGACAGCGTTCACATTACCAATGAAAGTGAATTTTTATTGGCTCCACAATCGTTTCCCAGTAGAGATGTTAATCGTTCAATGACGATTAAGCGGCCAGAGCGAGAGGTGACTTGGAAGATTTCAAAAATAGCGTGCATTTTTTTTCGTAGTCTCTTCAACCGTCAACAGTTTATAAGTCAGCATGTGTATGAATATAAAATTGTTTCAGAAGAAGTGTGGAAAAAACTCGTTTGAAATATATACTTATCTGCCGCCTTTTTTGCCTCAAAATTGTCATATGTGACTCACGTTAAGTAACAACTCTATCAAACATTGAGCTTAACAAGACAAGCAGAGCTTTGTTGTGGGCCTCTTCATTCTTGATTGTTTTTGGCGAGCTCCACACACTTGACGTCTTTTGGCATTCTGAACACACTTTACTCTGGAATACAATAAATTTACATTTGCAGTGCAAACATAAGTAAATTGTGTGCGAATTCTCGGTAATGCTGAATTCTTTTTGTGTGTGCTGCAGGCCAATGTGTCAGGATCGCCATGGCCAAGGCGTCTCTCGGTGTCGTTCATACCGAATGGCTCGGGTAGCGCGTCCAAGGGGTTCAGGAGGAGCGTGACCACAGACGCGAGCGATCAAATGGTGTTCCTCAGCAGCGAAGAGCTGTCCAATGAGTCGGACATTGAGGCCCGAGTCTCGGTGGTGCCGAAAAGGACTCGCCCAATAAGGCCACCAAGCTCGAACTACTCAGAGTCACCAATGCAAATTTATAGGGATGAAAATGGTGAGCTTAAATACAAATATGAACCATCAAATCACGTGAACAGTCATGTAAGCACCATAAAACCAGACTCATCCTCTGCAACGCGAGGTAAGCGAGGTAATTACCTGAAATTTGTATTTAGGCATGAAATCCATATTCACATAAGGCCAATTGTCGGGACGGAGCTCAGTTCATTCAACCAATTATCACTTGTTTTCCTCTGTGAATATCCGCTGGATTCTGGTACTTGAGATTATCCGCTTTTCTGTGCTTTCTTTGCTCTTTAATTTAGGTATTGCGGCAGTTTTTTTCCTTTCAAATATGCCTAGATATTACTTTGCGGGGATAATGGCTCTGGTTTATTGGCACACAGCATTTCATTTATTCGCACGCATCAACTTGATATAAGGTCATTTAGTAATCTGTCGACTATCATGCCTTTCAGACAAGATTTACTTTCCAGAGGAGAACAACTACACAAGTCCTCCGAAAATCCCGAAGCCTGGATGTGCAAGAGATTCAACGTTTTGCCTGGAAGATCACACTTATCCCGCATCTCGCATTGAAACGCTCCTAGAGAAGGACTACAAGCAGTATGCAGAGTTCCTAACTGAGGACTATATCACCGCAGATCTGACGCAACGTAATGATATTCCGGGCGAGGAGAGTCTGTGCGAGAGCTATGAGAACAAGGTGTATCCGAAATCTGGCCAGAACAGAGATAATAAGTGGCTGTACATAATAAATCAAAGCAACTTTACACAAGGTGTAAGAATAGAGGAGTGCAGGTAGGAATTTACCGAACCACTGGTGCACTTATCCTCAAAATCCTCACCTTTTTCTCCTTGTTTTCAGGCGAAGTGGCCAGTCTTGCTCCTTCTCCACACTCTTCCCGACAAATTACGTCTCGGAGTGCAAGCAAAAGTATCAATATCGCCAATTGCTGGCCCTCGACGAACGAGGGGAGATCATAAAAGACTTCTTCAGATTACCATCTTGCTGCAAGTGCTACGTTCGGCAGGTCTAGGAGAAGGTTCATCCTCAAATTGTGATATACCATTAATTCATCTAGTGATATTCCAAGCACCAAGACGCACAATTCAATAAATGAGAGAAACGTTAAATATCCAAGAAATATTTACCGGGCAATAACAGTTTCCGTGTAAGTTAATTTATTGTCGTTTGTCATATTACTTACATGCATTTATGACATGATTTTTTCTTAGAGAGAAAATAAATCAGGATTTGAGTAAAGCTAATGGTGAAAATTTGAATTCAGAAATTGTAATTAAGACTACATTAGAAACTCATCATCTATGGAATAATACTAACACGAATTAGTAGTTTTTTGCTAGATTCTCTTTTATAGTTTATACTAGTCGATGTGAGTAAAATTTGTAGCAGGTACAAAGCAAGTGAATGTAAAAATGAAATTGCGTGTAAATAAATAAAATAGCCCAAGAATGGAGATGTCAGTCAGCGGCATAATATGTATAGTGTCGAATAAAAAGGCGATAGCAATAAATTCGTGTCGTTACAAGAACGCAATTTGTTTGAAGGTTATTTGCTATTTTGCAAACGCATGGAGAAAAAATATGTGGAGCTGCAATGAAAGCGCTCCTCCGGCTGTCACTTGACCACTTTCTTTTCGCTAAGTCGATGCAGCGTCTTAAAACTCGGCCACAAGATGCAATTAAAATGCTAATAACATTTAACATATTCACACCTCCGATATGAGCTCTCGTTTTAAATAAATCGGAGAAACATCATGAATATCTTGAGTGACATTGAAAATTTAATATTTCTCTGGTCACTTTGTCGATGAGACTCATTCTTTGTCCAAGAGAATTTGCTGTAATTTTTCTGGTAAATGATTGTGATGAATTCATATTGAAAGTTAAAATCGATCATCCAACTTTACCTCTTTAATACTTAATAAACTTACCTTTGAAGCCAAGAACAGCTCTAGGAAAACACTCAAAAATATCTTCAATAAAATTTATTTATTCCTTCAACAGAGTCTACAAAATTCACACATTTCCAGCTATGGGAAAAACTGGGTAACCACAAATCTTCTCTTCCACGCCTAAAAATTATAAAAGCCCTACTATTCAATGTACTACAGGTCAATGTATGATAAATTGGGACGTAAATCTAAGGAAAGTTTCAATGGTTTCAAGGGAGGAAACATCGGTACAACGGTCACATGAATGTACACTATGTATGTATGTATTCTTCTGTGATAATTCAAAGTCGATATGTCAGATTTCGAGCGCCAGTGCTCGAAAACGCAAATCTACCGCATCTGCGACTCATAGCGTGTCTTGGCTATTATCATGTTCTCTCTCGCATCACCGAAGTAGTGTTGTCTCCGCACACGAACAGGGTGTCTGAAAACGTTGGCGAGAGACGCGATTAATAATTGACTTTCATTCTCACTGAGTGGATTTTACCGGCAATATTGGTGTCTTGCCGACAGCCTTCCTCCGTGAACTGATGTATGTTGTGCATGTGTTGACACGATGTAACTGAGAGGTTTCGTCGATTCCTGGAACCGAGATTACATCATGAGATATTTTGGCTTCGAGAAGTCACAATGAGAAAGTGGATTCTATTAATCATACTATAGATATTTCTCTATTACAGAACAAGAGATGAATAAAATGACCTAAGAAAGCTCACATCACCAAAGACAATAAATAAAATCCATCTGAAGAACACACAACTTTATCACATGACTCTGCTATATAGATTACTTGATAACTCTCTATACTAGAATCAATCTTCCATTTCCTGTGTGCAAAGCAACAAAAGCTTTCTCTGCCGAATTTCGGCGTGTGTTGAGAGAATAGAATTAAAAGAAAATAGTGTGCATAATCCTGATGTAACACTGAATTCAGAGGATCTATCCAATTTAGCGATGCGCTAATCCTGGACGTTCATGTCATGCAGCGGAGCTTTGAAGCTCTGGGCATCATTTTCTGCCAAATGAATTCCCTTACGACACACTTTCAACATTCATACAGCCGATTTACGGTTGAAAGCTCTTTTCTGTGATTGTGTGCATTGCATATTTCCGCTTAAGTTCTTAGGCGATGAAATATTAGAAAATATTTCTCCACAGCTTCCCATTGTGTAACACTGAAGTGCTCAGCAATTCAGCCTCAGAAGAAATAGCAACATCCTTGCCATCCCATCGCACACTCACACACACATACACCAACCCAACTATGTGCACGGAATATATTGAACTTTTAACTTACTTAGGGAGAGAATTTACTTCTTGCTAAATGAAGCAAAACACCGCAAAGCCAACAAAAAGGCAACATTACATAATTGGCTCTCTCTCTTGATGTGTTTCGATAAATTAAATTTGGAATTTTTCGCCCAAGAAAAATCACACATACAGCATCATAGGTCATAGCAATTTGTATTCTGCGGTTAGGCGTTCCAGTTTTCAGTTTCTCCAAATTTGTATCTCTTCAAATATTTTATACTCAACTTTTCACGATGTAAAGTAGAGAGTCGAATATGCATGCTAATTAACAGAGTATTCAAGGACTTTAGAATATGCGCGACATGTTGTGATATTAATTCGCTGTATTGTTACGAAATTGCACTCAAATAAACCTCAAGTATGCCGATAAACAAACTAACTCCAATCGATACACGCTCAATTTCTATGCAATAAACATCACGGAAAATTGTGACTACAAAAGGATTTCTCAACTATTTCAAGACTTCCTGCTCGCGAGGAGCGCCGCTGGAAGCTTAGAGCTTTATCGCCGTAAATACGGATTCAATGTAAATTTATAACTTTCCTCCGCACACACGTCGCACAGAATGATGGTGAGGAAACGCTAAAGCGTTGGTAAGCATACAAAATTCAGGGTGAAAACAGATTCTGGCGCCCGAAGACAGGAAATATATAAAATATTATGCCTCTTCGTGGGCACTGAAATATTCACTTCATAAACTGATATTTTAAAAGAATGGAATGCGAGCAGACATTCCACATAAAGAACCCCAGATTGACAATCGCGTCGACCCTTTTATTCTTGGAAATTCTACGCAATAAGCGACTCTTAGCGGATTACCGTATCAGTGAAGCCTCAATACACAAATCATTGTACATATGCAGCATTCATGCATCATAGATAGTCTCCTTATGTGTACATAAGGTAGGCCGAGAGAAGTATTAAACCTTTTTCTATGGCACAAGTGGGATGGGCCGCGAAGAAGTATCAACAGTATGATGAATTAGGTTCAGTATCTTTATCCTGTTGATAGCGTGTATATCGAGGCTCTCGAGGCAAGTCTACGATCTTGGGTGGGTTTGAGCAGCTCGGGCGCTCTCATGTAATTTTATTAGGACACTTGTGCAAAGCTCCAGTGAATTATTCTGCTTAACACCCTGCAGTGGAAATCCATATGCACGAAATTTCCTAACTTGTTCTTCATGTGAGATTTCCTCTCTGGACGACTGTGGAAATCTGCTGTGAAATACACCCAATCCGGTCCATTGGCACTCGTATTTAGTATATGAATTAAATAATACCTACAGGAAATGTCCCTAAAGCCTTCGCAGTTTAAAGTCTCCCTTTGTACGGCTTGTTATTAAATCTTTTATAAATTTTGGAGCAGTTTCGGTGAAATGGGAACGTGACTGGAATGAAATTAGACGCAATGAAAGTGCGACGAATGCTTTTTACTATCCCTCAAGAACCCAAAGGAGAATAATAGACAATGAGGAACAAAAAGCGAAGGTTTAACAGGCTTCGACACTTTCAAGATAGAGAATGATTTAATATTTATCGTAGGCGAGAACTCACAGCCACCGGAAAAAGCTATACTTTCGCCCAGATTGTCTTTACGGAATGAAACCCGAGATTCATTAAACTTTCTTGCTGAGGGGGATCAAAATTATTTACTCTGCCAAATACCCCTGGTGTGACAAAGAAGTTTTCAATTATTGCGCCATTGAATTTAAAATTACTTGCCCATGAAGCTTATAGACATCTTCTTTTGTGATCCGTCTGTTACCCAAGATATTACATAGTGATGTACGAAACTTCCCTATTCAATGTTATTATATTTCACGAGAGGTGAAATGCAAAACTTTTGCGAGATGAGATGCTAACATGCCTGAAAATGTTGACCATTGTAACCTTAAAGGCAATTTCTTTCGGTGTCATAATCGAGATGAATATCTTCTGAAATTTAAATTTTAAATACATCAGGCATTTTGTAATTGAATTGGATTCACGCGAGAGAGAACATCTCGCGAACGCCCATAATTAATTTGCTATTAAACGATTCGCGTTAAGGAAATTAATATCTTTGCATCAACTGCTGTAAATGCGAAACAAGAGAGAGTTGGGCAATTTAAGGTAGTACAATTTCTCCTTGTATTTTTGTCGTGAATCATATGAGTTTCTTTTGCACTATAGAAGAACTTCTCAGACAAAAGAGTTCTTTATGATGAAGCGTAATGAGATTTAAAAACGCAAATTGCTTTTTGCTAAGACTATTGTAACTCAAAAAGACATCTTCTCATTGGAACGAGTTGAAGTTTGCAAATTATTTTCCATAAATCCCTCACAAACGTCATAAAATAAGAATTTTCATCGTAAATTGTCTTATTTTTGGCAATTTCAATTGAGATTGATGGCATTTTCTATACAATAGACACAAAAATAGACTCACAATAGACGGATTTGAATAATTGAGCGAGACATCTCGAGTTATTATTGTTTTCATCGCGGCTTAGCATCGCGCTCTCAGCGCACAACTTGAGTTTACTCAGAGAAATTGCGAGAGTTCTTAAGCGTTACGCATTTTTATCATATTGTGAGAAATTTAAAGATAATCTGTTGATAATAATAATTTTGCTCAATTCATTTTATTGCTCAAACTTCAGTTTTCACTTTAAGAATTCATATCAGTTCATTCTATAATGGCCATCAGTAAGCTCTTACGATACAGAGTGCTGCAGCCAACGAAATGTACTTTCAAATAATACGTGAGCAATCTACGTAACGCTATAGTGACACGACAATTCTATGGCTGCAGCAAAAGCTGAAGATGTGGACTGTTTTACGATGGAATATATAAAAGTTGGTCTTTATGTGAAATTCGAATTTTGTACCTTCTGCAATATACAACAACAGGACAAGGCAAAAAGACACACTGCTAGGAGCAAAAGAGTTACAACAGCGAAGCCTTTCCATAAGAAATAAAGGAGGAAATAAATACAGATTTCTAGTGCTGAATTGAACATTTTCAAATCCTACCCAAAATCGGTGCTATAATAGATTTTGAAGCTTTCTCGCATTGCAAAATGAATAATAAGTGTCCGAAAGAACGGAAAAGTGCATAAAGAAAGGACAGAACGTGATAAGAATGCATAGGAACATAGTATGAACATTGACATCGGTTTGTAGAGTGGCACCTAATGCGTATTCGGGTCTTCCGCGTGAGACCACCACCTGTTCCATTTAAATTGTCGTTCATCTCACCAGTGAGCGCTAGGCCGCCGGCCCCGATGCTACCGCCGCGGCCGCGGGCGCACTGTCGGACGCACCAGCACCGCCGCACGAGTGGGATGTCGTGGAGGACCTTCATGAAGCCCAGGCGGAAGCGTTCGTTCATGTAGCAATAAATAATTGGGTTACAGCAACTGTGAGCCATGGCCAGCCAGTGGCATCCGAACCAGAAGTAGGGAAGCAGTTGCCACGATTGGACCTGCTCGTCGTCCAGGAGTAGCTTAAAAGAAAAGTGGCAAGTCAAGGGTTGAAAAATGTGCTGTGCGACAAATAAAAAGCTGTGGGCGTTCTAAAGGATACTTTATTTCCATTCGTTTTGATATCAAGCCGAGAAATCGATTCTTCTCAAATTGGTAATTGCCCATATTCCCACTGATGTTTCACCCCTTTTCTCCTAAAGCTGCCTAATGTCGCACATAGTTTTATGTACTCTGACAGGCGCAAAAGTGTCCATAGTAACTAACATAAATCAAATGGTGAATGTGTCTCGCACACTGCCTAATTGGTATAATATTCCAAATTGGCAAATTCGGAACTTTGACTGATAAATTCCACCGCACGAAATTCCCCCTCTCTCTCTCGCTCTTTTTCCCGATATATGTACAATAGTTATCGAACAAGATGTCATTTGACGCGAAAATAACCAAGTGGAAAAGAATCAATATTGCTTTGTATTATTTGCCAGCCAATTCAACCCAATTTTGTTGTGAATCAATGGTGCGACAGAGCCCATTAAAAAGCGGACCTTTATCCGCCCCGGAACAGCACATAAATTATAATTAAAAATAATCCAAATAAAGTAATACTTTCAGCGAGCTGAATAAAATTTTTCACTGGGAATCGCTTCAAATGGAAGCACAGTGCGTATCTTATTAAATAGCATTAACAGAGATGACGTAGAAGGACTCACCACTAAAATGTTAAAGGGAAGCCAGCACACTGTAAACACAATAACGACGGTCACCATCATTTTAATCATCTGTGAAAACAAAGATATAAAATTACTACATATTTTCCCAGTGCAAATTGACGTCGAGTGCAGAAGACCATTTTTATTGGCCTCCTGTTGACACTTTAAAGCCACACAAACACTGCCCATACATAAATGCAATTGAAGGAATATTGTGTTCACAACTTCTCAATTAGTTTTATTATATCACGTGTGAGGAAAATTTTGAATTGAGCTTCATGTGTACAGAGTGGAATATTTTCCTACTTGTTTCTCTGTATGGCAAATATGTAGATTAGCAAAACATTTTTCATGAATTTTCCACTCTGCAAATACGTGAATCACTCGAAAAATTCCAGTCAGTCAGGAGAGATTTTGCACACAAGATTTCTCACAACTCATATTCCAAGCGATAAGTACACAAAGACTATGTAGATCGCGCGTACATAAAACGGAGAACCTTTCTGATTTCCAGTAAACATGCTTTGGTCAATATTGGAATGTAATTTGGGTGCAATTGATTGAAAACCCACATCGATTCTTTTGCCAACATCAAAAGAGAAATATTTCATATACACATTTGTATGTGTAACTTTAAACCCACATTTCCTGAATTGGCAAAAAAAGCAAAGCCCTACCTTTGTATGTAATATTCATGCCTTGGAAAATAGATTATGGCCCTGCTAAGGGTTGTAATAAAATCTAATTACGGAAATGATTAAATTCTCCTCCACCCACTCTAGACGAGATACCTGAACTTTTTCGGCATTGTCTATTTAAAACTTTATTATGAAGCAATGCCAAACAGAAAGAAAAGTCAACAAGCTGCCCAGAAATATACACAAGAAACTGATACAAGAGCTCGAGGGGATTTTTTTCTCAGTCTACTCAAGTTTTCAAGAGTGTTTGTTTCATATTTTGAAATTTTAATTTAATACATATTGACACACTTAAAGTCTGTTCCACATGCTTTATTCTATTGTTATCGAACTCTATTTTCGTAAGATGTGTATTTTCCACGTAATAAATGAAAAATGGATTTAGCATAAGAGTGTTGAAAAGAGAAACTTTGAAATTGAATCCTGGCTTGATATATTTATGAATCAAATATTTCTGCAATAAAAGTGATGGTAGAAAAGTGCATAAAAAAATGCGGCCAAATAGCATGTCGACATTTCATTTCACTTTCATTTACATTACATTCCAGGAATAGCCAAAATTCTCAATAATTGTGCACCAAAAAAAACCCCAAATTTTAAGCTCCGCGGTTTTCAATGAAACTCCCCAAAATCGTCCAATACTTGCAAATTTTAGATAGTTTACAAAGGATCTATTTTTTCAATACAATAGACAAATATTTTATAGAAATGATCCAAACTTCTCGAGAGATAAGTCTATACTCTTCAGAGGAAGATATAACAATCAATTTTGCAAACAATTTGTTCAGAAACTTCTCCATACAACATTCATTCTATACATAGTGATCGATTATATTCATCCTTGAAGCATAAAGCAAAATGCTTGGTCACGTGTTAAAATTCTACAGGACTTTTAGAAGGTAATTTTCAGGCATGCGAGACAATTTCCCAGTCCTCGAGCACAAAATACTCTAGGCAATCAGTATAGTACATAGTGAGAGATGAGAATGCAATCAGAAGTCTTGTATGCTATGTATATGTTTGTGTAGATTTATTCCCAAAAGACATTACACAATGATTGAAACTCTCGAGTGTTTTTCACCTATTCCGATGGCAGCAAAACAAGATTCTTGTGCTGGGGGCAAATTTTCCACTTCCTGACTGGTACTATGTAATGTCTTGTGTAAAGGAGGGCGGAAAGAGAGGAAAACGATTGTTTATCGAAGTGGAAGTCAACTTTTATTGAGCAGGGCACTTTAGTCATAAGCAAGGCAAGCGCCTTTTCGATGAGGAAAATATTAGTGTTGGACCCTTTCGCATATCGCAGGGCATCGTGTATGAGGAAAGAAATATTACATTAGTTCCCTATGATAAAACATACATGGAGTAAGTTTCGGCCAAGATGAGTGTGAGCCTCAATATGCCTCATTGATTGGCGATTGAACTTCTGACATCCACTCTTTTTGTCGCTTTTCTCAAGCTTATCTTCAATCGCTACCAAAGAAGAGTTTTTTTTTCTGCCAATGAGACTCACTCGATTCGCTATTGTCGTTTGACAAATTATTAGTTATGCAGATTAATAGTCGATAAATCGAATTAGAGCCACATCACACGTTTTGGACAATTTGATGGCTGGACAATAAATCTCACAGTGCAGTCTTTGAGCGTGTTGACGATGAAATGGACTGGGAAAACGGAAAAAGTCAGTGGCAACATGCAAAGTGGAGAAGTGAAGTGATTTGCAAATAAAAATGACGACTTCTGTGCTCCATAAAAGTGAAATATAGCCAATTTTCCATAAATTTTCCGTCCAGAATGATGTATGTTCTCAAATGCACAACATCCGTCTCTGAAAATGCATACCAATTAGTAGCTTGTGATGGGTAAAAAGCAGGAAACAGAATCGATACACATATGCCGGAGTGTGTGTGGAGAGGCTTCTCGTGGAGAATTCAATTATTTTGATGGTCTTGCGATTCGCTGAAGCTCATGATGACAATGGTGTGAAGTAAAGAAAGTGGATTTTGCCACAAAATGTTTCACATTCATTCACACCTATAGAGAATTCTCAAATTGGCGTGCCGGGAGAGTTGCAAAACACTTCGATTGCCAATGACGTGGGGAGAAAGGAAAATAAGGAGGTTGGTGGTATATTTAACCGTGTAAATAATGCCTTTGAACTGGTGTAACACCACAGAGAGTCGTGAGAGTTAATGACATAGAAAATGTTTCATTGAGAACTAGAATCTGGCTTTAAGGTATTTTTACAGCATCAGGTTTTCGTTTCTTCTCAACAAAGGCAAGTCACGCTTCTTCTTCATCTCTCTCTCTATACACACACACAAACACTATTTGGTATATAGACGAAAATGCAACTACACCTCTTGGGGAATTTTATAGGTTAATGACATTCCAGGTTGATTTCGGTGGCTGACTAGCTTGGAGATTAAAGTCATATTGTTCACTTTGAGGGATTCTCAAACGGTGATGGCTTTGGTGTAAACTTTAAACAATAGCATCAGAGACATAATGTTTCGCACATGGAAATGGGAGAGACACTCAAATGCTTGATACAATATACTTTGTTTGTAGCTTGAGGGATGATGCTATCAAACAGAAAATACATTGATTGGATGATGTTTGGCTATTAATGGATCGAAATTGCTTATTGCTCTTCATGCTGTGTTACTTAAGATAGTCCTCCATTTCCTGAAAGAACACACTTCCCAAGTATATCACCAGTCCATGGCATATAGCGTGTATTATATACGTATTTTAATTGGGGCTTTAGATATATGTACATACACTTAATACACCGTACGTCACCAGTAAGCGAAGGGAAATCAGGAAATCTTCTCCCCTATCATCGAGTACTTCAGGAACAAAACATGAGCGCATACAACATATCCATAATGACGATAATAAAGCTCACGATCTGAACAAGTGAACATATTTTAAAACATATGGACACGCTGAAGTGGAAAAGCGCTAGCACAACCGCCATCATCATCAATTAGAGGCAATCAAATTAAATTGGTAATGGAAGGCAAATTATTTTAGGGAATTTTCAATTAGAAATCTCTTCGATCAGGAAATGTCATTTCTCTCACGCTCAATTTCTTCACCGCTTTCCCTAACTCTTGACACACTCTCGGCGCTTTAAAGGACAATTTAGAGAATCACTTATCTTCTCGCGCTGTCGTCACGGAGCATTCACAGATACTGTAAGCATTTCTTATGTAAATCTGCTGTAAGATTTTTCATTCAATGAAAATGATTTGCTAGACTTCAAACTCTTGAAAATAAAAAACAATTATCAAAAGTTTGGCTTTCAAGTTAGATTTTATGCAAATTTCAATCAAAACATCTGTTCAACTTCTCAATCGAAAGTTTAATTGCAGTTCTGGAGTGTGAGAAATATTCCTTATTTCCATATTTCAAGTTCTCACATCACTTTTGTGATCACCTGGTGAAAAATACACAAATTAATGTTTTCTGATCGATTGCTTGTTCAGAGTTGAACTTAACACATTCCTAAGGTCTCTCTGTTCACCGTGAAAACCATCATTTCATCAGTTGATGCTATCTTCAGTGAATCTGCAGTGAATCTTGCATTAAAAGAAAAATTTCTCTCTACATTATCACGCCTCCTTCCCAGCAGAGTGTAAAAGAGCCGTTGAATTTATATGAATGGGAATCAATTCTCACAATTTCATTTCACCCTGCCAAAGAGACGTGAGAGGATGTCAGAGAGAGAGGCTCATTTATCCACTCCCACGCTATCAATTTTTATGAACATCAATAGACTTTAAGTATAAGATCAACGCATTGCTATTAGCGAGATATTCGCTATCGATATCTCTCGGCACATATAAATAATGTATTAATATGGAAATGCGCGATGGGTAGTAAAATGTGTACAATATTGGGAGTTTAAGGAATCTATCATGACCTTGAAATGGAAAGTTATGATAATTGAATTGTTGTTTCTTTTGGCCACACTCTTCAAAATATGCTGAGCTACTTCTTGTAAAATTTAGGAGAGAGATTTCCATATAAATTTTCTGCGTGAATATTGATAAAAAATATTGTTATTACCACGGATTTTTTCTCGTTGTTTACTAATGGAACTCTCGCCACAAATATATACACAAGAGCGAGCCGTCAAAGCCATATATCTCCAGCGAGGGTGAGTGCCAGGGATCTGTTTGCGTTTAATTTCCTGATTTCATTTATGAAATTTCACAAATTTTTCTCCTTTTACTTATTGAGTTACATCTCCTCCTCTTCTCACTCTCTTGGCATTCACACAAAACAACGTTGGATGGCGAAAATAATGCACACTTACATATATTTTGTTATATACCACAATTTGCCATACTTTCACTTGGCTCAACAATCACAATATAAAAAACCCGTGGAGCATCATTATCAGCTCCATCATCTTAACATCATCAAGAGAGGCCCCTCGGTTTAACCAAAGAACGGCTATTCAAAACCAGCTTCATTAGTTTAGTTGCGCGAATATTAATTGCGAGATTTTGTGTCGAAATGATGCGATGTTAATGAACTATAGACGGAAGATGGTACAAATGAAATTCGACTATGTGAAAAGCGGAAGAAAGTACCTGTGTACATATGCATATACACAATGCATGTCACGAGAAAGAATGGTCGAATTTCGCAGGCGAATATTGTAATACAATATCATCTCTCTGCATTATATGGAACGCTTTCCCTTCTCTCCACCACCAAACTTAGCTCTTTGGCCTCATTTTCCTTCCCCAATCGCAAAATGTACAGGCTAATTTTGTCACCGTTTTATTGCAAAATTCGTAGGTACACAAATTCGTTATTAACTAAGAAGGGAAAAATATTTACAACAGTTTTTTTTCCTTAATAGAAGTTGTTTTAGGACTAGCTAGAATTGTCGTAATCGTTCTTAATATGGCCCGCCAGATTTACCGGGTGGTCCATATGATGTGGATGGTCCCGAGCTTCCGTGTCCGGATGAGAGATCGCCGCCCACTCCAGAGGACAGATCTCCGTGGCCACCGAGTCCGCTGCCCAGACCGCCGCCAAGGCCGCCGCCGAGACCGCCGCCGAGACCGCCGAGATCGAGACCGCCAGCAGAGCCGCCGTGGCCGCCAGAGTAGCCACCGCTGACGGACTCCTTCTGGGTCTTGTACTTGATGAAGTACACCTCGGGCTTGCTGGGCTGCGTGGGAGCGGCAGTGGGAATGACAATGTCGGGCTGCTCGTCGGGCTTCTTCACCAGCACGTAGACGAGGGTCTTCTCCTCATTCTGAGGCTGAACGGGGATGACTGGCGCCTGGTACGAGGGCGGGGATGGGGCCTTGATGAAGATGATCTTGTAGTGCTTCTGCGCCTGGCCGACAGGGATGTGCTTCTGTGGCCGGAACTCCTCCTGCTCCGGTGGCGGCACGTGCACGTAGATGTGCTTCTGGACGACGGCAGAACCTCCAGAACTGTATCCACCAAATCCAGCGCTGGATCCGCTTCCGAAGCCGGACCCACCACCAAATCCAGAGCCTACAATATGCAAAATATCATTTAGTTGTGATACTTTGTGCTGGGCAACACACGCAGTCTCTCGCGAGTTACATCCACATTGAGAAAAAATGGTTAATTTCACTTTTGTATGCCAAGAACTCTAGCGAGAATCCATGTGTGCTGAGGTTTAATCCGTTTTTTCTTTCACTTGAACTTTGCTTTTAACACACACCTCCTATTCCATGAGACAATCCACCACCGAAACTTCCGCCGAGTCCTGAGCCACCTCCGAAACTTCCGCCGTGCGCGGACCCGAAGCCGCCGCCGTGACCGCCGCCATGACCGCCACCGCCACCGCCGCCCAGGAGCCCTCCATGTCCTCCGGATGGGCGCTGGTAGTTATATCCACTTGGCGGTTCGGGTCTGGCCGCGGCGAGTGCCAAACAAGACAGTAACACAAAAGCTCTCATATCGGTATTATTTTTGAGCAATCCTAGCAGTTGACTGACGATCTCAAGACCCGCGATTCAATTTATATATCGCAACGAGAAAGCCCAATACCTGGCGGTGTCTGCTTGGCCAAATGTACATGAGACAGGCATTCACGGAGAGCGGGAATTTTTGGAGGGGACTTTCTTCTTTCGAGTCTCCGCCACCCAGCTTCATCTTCTCTCCACCGCTGCAATGGGAAGCCACTCACACAGGCTTACATCACATTGCCGTGGAGCATCTCGCGGAGAGATGGGTATCTTCTTCTTTTCCTCGTTTTCGTCTACTTTGGCCTCCCCAGTCGCGTGCACCGCCGCTGCCGCGGTAGACAAAGACGCGAAATTCTCACCAGAGACTCAGTGTTAAAGAATACATATCATCATTCGTGGCTCCGAGCATTTCTCCGCCATATATGTGCATATGTGGATGAACAATTCACTGTCCATTTACACATAGATGAGAAGATGGGAGAAAGAGGCAGAGAAATTAAGTAAATAATAAATGTGACTTCGCGCGAGCCCAAAAAATATATTCAGACAGCCTGAATTAATTTATTTCGTGTTTCAACTTGCCTCGGATGTGTGCAAAAATTTTCTCATCTCGCAGAATTCGGTACATTTACCTCATTTTAATGGACTCTAGGCCATAACACCGAAAACATACTTTTCCATCCCGCGCGCATCTTGTGGGCAGTGCCATTGTGTTGGCCCAACAATAAAACTCAAATTCTCCCTCGCGCCATTTATTCTAAACACTTTCTCTTTTGTTTCCACCCAGCAGAAATAACAAATAATTCACATTATAAATTTCGCATCATCAAGCTTTTACGGAGTTTTTTCGTCCCAGAAACCATCAGTGACAAAACGCACACACAGCAAAGTGCACGATCATTAAGTCCTTCCCTAACACACGAGAGAGCGTCTATTTTAATTAATTTAAAATATTCATTAATAAACAAGCCCGAGGAGCAAAAATACGTGTTTTCAATGTCTGTCGACAAATTAATTGGTGTATTTGCAAATTACATAAAGCTCGGCGGTTCCTCAGTATCAAATTTATACAAATTAACTATCCAAAAATCTTGGACATCCCATGTTGAATTTCGTAACACTCACGTTTGATTGATGGCTATTTCTCTTACTCATCTTTCATCTCTCGAGTATAAAACACGTAATAAATAAGCAAGTGTTGGACACTGATCATTATAGTCACACAAATTTTGAGACTGCCTTTTTTCTGCCCTCTCATCAGTTCACCATCCCAGCGTATTATTATGTCTAGAGAGAGATTTTGCAATGGTTTATATGGAAAGAATCCCGAGAGTTTGAAGCTTAATAAAAACAGGCCCATCAAATCGATATTTTTTTCCTTGAGCCACAAATTGATTGGAGTTCAGGAAAAATTGAGTGGGCAAAATTCAATTACACAAGGCATTGATTGAGAGAACCAAAATTGAACATATAAGATGTGAAATGGTTTCTTGACCAAAGAGCCTTCTTAAGTTTCGCTCATTGACTCGAAATGATATGAGCAAAAAAACGTACTTTTTTCCCCAAATATTGCATACACTTGGCAAAAATCTTGGGATTATTGTGTAAATGCGCAACGAATTGGCAAAAGATGAGCTTTATTTCAAATTGATGCCTCTTTTGTGTGTTTTTTTCCCGTCCATGTGTTTATTGAATTTGTGTCAATGTCGCCGGAGAAGACAATTTTGGCAATATCATAGCACGAAGATAATTAACAAAACATAATCCAGAAGTATTCAGTCCTTGGCAGAGTATATATTGCATTAACTCTTTCCTAATTCCGGGGAGGAGGAACTCAAGACACGATGACTGGTTCCTTAGCTTTACATTTATCCCCTGAATGGGAAGAAATATTATCTTCATTTTCAGCAACTTCTGTTTGCCAAACCCAATTGCACTTCCTTATAAAGAATTTAGAGAGTCTGGAAATGAGCTTGAAAGCGTAATTTATGAATGTTCCTTCGCTTTTGAAAAGCTTTTCCATATGAATGAAATACGTACATATGTAACTTTAATATTGAAAGATAAAACTTGTGTTTGAATTGAGGAAAATAATATGAAAAATTAGTGTAGAGAACTTTAAATGAAGTGAACGGAAAATACACCACAGAATTGAACAGCTTAACGTATATTTTATTCTAATTCTGAATTGCGAAAGAATGAAAATTTACAGACATGGATTTGTACCCAAAATTCTCCTCTCTTCCCTACTCATTTTGAGGCTAAAAAGAAAATCAGAGCTTCTGCAAGTTATTACAGCTTCAACATGGATTTTTGCTTTTTTCCCACTTTGGCCGAACGTGAGTTTCTCTGCAAAAACCTAATGAGTCACAATAGTGGGATACTATTTAGTGTGTATTTCAGTTTCACCGCCATTCACCACCCTCCTCTTCCTTGTGCCACTGTCCACTTGGGCTGTGCGTTATGTATTCTCCCATTACATTTAAATATAATTGTATGTCGCTCTCATCTTTCATGCGCAGTCTCGAAGAGGAGCGAAAAAAGAAATTTCAGAGCCCACAAAAATTGCTAATTACCCTTAACTTATACACTTAATTGTGTGTTCTTTCGCAATTGCATAACGCAGAGACAACGAAATATATGCATATTCAGATAGATTGATGATCCACTCTTCTATTGTGGCTGCCGAGCATCAGCCAATGTTCAGTGTTCATGTTAGGAAGGCGACAGAAAAAAAAACAGTACCGAGAGTATGAAAAAGTGAAGATGATAGAATTGTGAATTGCATGTTAACAAAGTGTTCACGAGCATAGTGTTTTGAGACGCACACTCGCTTCACAATAAACCGTCAGATCTCCAATGCAAATGCTAAATTACATATACAAGGTGTGTGTGAAAAGAAAGACAGAAGATTTCCAACTCCTTTGCTCCCAAAGTTTCGTCGTCAGCATATTTTATGGAATCTTTCGCCGAAAAGAGAAGTATAGACATAATTATACAGATATAACTTAAATTTCCCAACACGCTTCGCTGAGCATGAAAAAAAAGTATATACGAAAGAGGAATCCCTCCAGTTTCATCGTCACAATAACTTGTAATGGTAATATAATGTCAGAAAAGCAAGATCAATTCATAGAGCGAGTATCAACAAAAAGAATTTTCGGACTTTTTCTTCCACAAGTTGCGGGCAAATGTTTAACCTATTGTGTGTGTATCCCACTCTGTTTATTAACTTTCATTGTGTATGAATGGTAAGTAAAGGGGAAAAACTTGGATGAAGATCTCATCATTTCACGGCCCTGAACTAAATATACGCGCCATTCTCATTAGAGAGTACAACAACAACCGCGATGTACTGAGCGAGAAAGGTTCAAAGATGTAAGAAGAGCTCAATATTAATATTTTTCTTATGCAATGACAGCAGGTAAGTGTGATTATATACGAATTTTTAATTGAAAACAACACAAGCTTTCAAAACGACAAGAGGAAAAAACCATACATTTATCGCCCATGCCGCGAAGTAGGGGGAGTCGCAATCATAAAAAGAGAATCTTCTTTTGGGCATCAATCGCTCTTTTCCCTCCTTTCTTTTCCATTTCATACATTCACCCGTAACCACTTTTACTGAAGATGACTCCGTCGGCCACAGTTGGGAAGCCAAACTGGACCCACTCACAACTTTCTGGTTCAGTGACTGAGGAGACGACACTCAGTGTCTTCATATTAGCTCGTGCATCGCTGTATTACTGGTCGTAAGATAAAACTTCTTCGCCGCAATCACTGTGGCGTCATCTCAACATCAGCGACCAGCAAAAGCACACGGAGAAACGCAAGGCATCGTCCTCCTTCGAAAGGTTTATACATAACATCTCCTCACAACGCAAGATTTGTTGCATTCTTATCTTTATGCCACACAAACAAACTTTTTTCTCGTGTGACGCTCGCGCGCTTACTTTCCAATCATTTGTTGTCTTTTTCAGTTACCATCAGATATTTTGATCACTCATATTCATGCATGTGTTGGGAAATATATAGTTTCATATTAAATTTAAAGCTGTGTACATCACGGATTCTTTTTGTATCTCATCTCTATATTAGACAGAATTGTAAAGCTCATAGATGAAAGAGCAGATCTGCAAAATCATAATATGCAGGTTAAACAATTGAAGCTTTTATCATCTAGTGACTCATTGAAAAAAAGGAAACAAAGAGTAAAATTTTGAAACTTGCCAGATGAAAATTCCTTTTTTCACTCCTTTTTCTATATGTTAACATTGTAAATAAATGCGTCCCTGGATGTTTGAGAGTTGTTCCCGTTGGTCCTCAAAAGTCATGGCAATATTTCCTCATTAAATGGCCTATTTTTATGTTTCAAGACAGTTTTATGCCAAAAATTACCATAAAAACTCCCCTTTTTCCTCGTCTGTGAATGATTTTCCCCAACTAGACACATTTTCTGCATTTCCTGCGGTTCTCCTCTGGAATTGCTTTCAAATGGACCACATACTAAAGCGACATCACTTGTAACTTTGTCGAAAGTTCTTCTCTTGTTCGCCTTGCAGATTTCTTCCTTGACATCTTTTCATCTCTAAGTTGATCCCTGATTGAGTCTCACTTGAGACTTCATGGTGTTTATTGGACTCAGAACTTGCGGAGGCAAAAGCATTGTTCAAAGTTTTCTCGCTGAGTTTTTTATGCCACTTTTCACTCTTCAGAGTTCTTGACTTCACGCTAAAGAAAGGATAATGAGAAAAAATAAAGAGGATTTCAGCGGATGTTTACTTTTCCTTTGATGTATCTCTATATTATCGCATTTTTCCGTATTTTCTTTTACTCATAATCCAGGAATATTATGCTCGAAATCCCGTCTCTCTTCTTTATCTACCAAGAGATGTTCTCAGTAACTCTGTTGTATTAAAGTTTGGAGAAGTCTTTGACTTGAGCTCGTGTGTTCATTCCAAGAATTGGACCAACCCCTTCCCTGAACTCTC